CACTGACCTCACGCGTCCTCCGTCCGCGCTGCGCGCGGCGAGCGCGGGGTCGGGACGGGGCGAGGCCCGGGGGTGCGGGGGGCCGGCGGCCGCCATCTTCTCGCCGAGGCCGCTGCGCCCGCCGCGCGCGCCCGTCCGGCAGCGCACGAGTTAAGGCTGGCACCGCGCCCGGCGGGAGGGGGGCGCCCACCTCCCCTCCCCCCCGCGCCGGGCATGCGGGGCCCGCTGGGCACCGAGGAGGCGCTGCCGCGGCTGTTCGCCGAGGAGATGGAGAACGAGGACGAGATGTCAGGTGAGGGGCGCGGGGGGCGCCCGGGTCCCGCGGGCTGCGCTCCCGCCCGGCTGGCGCCGAGGCCAAGGGCGCGGGGCCGGGCGGGCGGCGGGGCGGGGTGCGAGCGATCGGAGCCAGAGCGGCCGGGCCGGGCGGGGCGGCTGGGCCTGCGCCGGGCACAGGGGCGGGGGCGCGGCGGCTCGGGGGTCAGCCGCGTGCCCTTGAAAGGGGTGGGAGTCGCGCTCGCCACGTCCCCGGGCGCCCGGCCTCGCCGCGGCAGGCGGCCCCGGGCCGGCCCAGCTGGGCCCCCGGGCGCGCTGGGTGGGGCCGGCTCCGGCCAAGCAGCGGCTGCGCTGGGCGTCCGGAGGTCCCCAGGAGCCCAGGAGCGCGCGCGGCTTCCCTCGGGGCCCACGCGGGCTCAGACCCCGTCCCCGGTCCCGCCCGAGCGCTTCGCCGTCCCCAGTCCCGGGTCGCCAGGTAGTGGGTGGCCAACCTGCCCTGGCGCCGCCCCTGCCCTTGTCAGCCTCGCCTTATGTTGCTCGCCTAATTCGCGTGCAAAGGGCCGGTGCGTTCGTGGCCGCCTTGCAGGATCATTCCGGGCCAACTGCTCCCTGCTTGCTCCGACGTCTGTCCTCCTGCCCCGGCGGGGCAGGGCCTCACCCTGTGGCCAGTTCCACCCCTTCCTGGGGGACTCGATTACTTCTCTGCTGCCCAAGTCCAAGTCTGAGGCCCCTCCTGGACTTCAGAGTCTTGCAGGAGGCCTCGCTGGGCCGGGAATGTACATTGGCGCCCCAGGAGGCCAGCTGGGGTCCCCCGCTGCCCGGCACCTCAGGGCCGTGGGCGAGTCCCAGTGGTCACGCCCCCTGCCCGAGTCTCCCCAGCTTGTTCCCTTGTTTAGTGGTTTTGATGCTGTGACTTTTGCTCCAGCCGGGGCCTGGTGGGCACCTCGCCTTTCAGTCAGTCAGGGCAAGGTGGCAGAGAGCCCCCCAGGCCAGGGGAGCGGGGTGAGTAGGATGAGAGAGGTCACCTGGACCCGCGAAGTAGCTGACTCCTCCACTGCCAGGCTGGCAGAGTCAGACTCATTCCCTGGAGGGGAACCTGGAGACCCCTCACTTGCTGGGAAACCTGCGGCTCTTCTCCAGCCGGGGACCAACTCCTCTGTCAGCTGCTTTTCTGGTTTTCTCAGTGAGATTTCCATGGCGCTTGGGGTGTGGCCCTTTGTGGTTCTGATGGGGGCAGTGGACAGCTGAGCACATCAGAGGCCCGTTTCGGGAACTGCAGACCCCAGGTGGAGTCCCTGCCCGTGACCTGCCTTATCCTCTGGCTCTCCCTGGTAGTGTTGGGGTGCAGTGACTGGGGAGAGGAGCTTGGGGTCCCCTCCCCAGGCTGGTGGGCGCCAAACCCATAATGTGGTCAGAGGGCCTGGGTATTGGTCCAAGCCTCCCACTCACACCCCGTTGTCCCTGGCTCCAGGGCCCTCAGGCCTGGGGCTGCTGCCCCTCGCCTGCCGGGGCACCTGCTTCCCTCCCAGCCTCTCCACTGACTGCTGACCCAGAGCCAGACCCCCATGGTCCGCCCATAGGGTCCCTGTGTCCCCCTGGTTGGCCCCCAAGTGGCTTCTGGGACACCGTGGGCTCCGTCTTGCCTGTGACCTCTGCTCACAGATTCTCCTCCTGGGCGGTCACGTCCCCGCTCCAGTGGCACCCGGAGGACCTCCTTGGTCCTCTGGCTCGAGTGTGGCTCCACTGTCGACTGTCAGATAGACACCTTTTAATGTTTGCTTCTTTTTCTCTTGTTTTAATTAAAAATTCTTTTTGGGGGGTGGTACTGGGAATTGAAGTCAGGGTCTTTCACTGTGCTATACCTGAAGTATTTTGAGAGTTTAACTAATTCATTCATTAATTTTTCATGGTACTGGGGATTGAACCCAGGGCCTTTGGACTGAGCTCATGCCCAGCCCTTTTCCATTTTTTGAGACAGGGTCTCTGTGTCACTAAGTTGCTCAGTTTGGGCTCCAACTTTCTGTCCTCCTGCCTCAGCCTCCCAGAGTGCTGAGATCTCAGGCATGTGCCACCAAGCCTGGTTAATACTTTCTTTTCTGGACAGCACTTCCTGCCCTCTGGAATGTTTTGCCTGCTTCTGCGTTGGTGGCCTCCCCGTCTGGTGGGATTCCTTTGCCGCCTGCCCTGCCTCTAGAGCCCAGGGTACCCAAGAGACAGCTACGTCTCAGGCAAGGGTCCCTAGGTTCCTGGACACGGTGACGGTCCCCGCCAGGCTCCTGTCTCCCATAGCACTGGCTGGGCCGCTAGCCCTCACCTGGGCCCGTCTGCAGCTTGGGACCCAGGTCTGTGGCAGTGGCCCCCGTAGGCCTGTAGCTGGCTGGCTCCGAAGCATACCCATTTGTGGCTGGAGGAGCTGCCAAGCTGATTTCTAGATCCATAGCGCTGGACTGGTCACTGCTCACATCTTTTCTTTGAGCTCTGCTCCGTCACCCTTCTCCCCTTTGGAGTGGCTCGCACTCCCCTCGTGGTCCCTTGTTTCCTGCCACCTTAACCATCTCTTCCGCCTTGGGGCAGGTGGGTGAGCGGCTCCAGGGAGGAAGTGGGATGGGTGCCCAGGGACCGGCCATCGGATCCCACTGGGAGTGGAGAGGGCTGGTCAAAGAGAGCATTTAAGAGTCACTTTGAAGGGCCAGGGGTTTAGCTCAGTGGAATGGTGCCTGCCTCCCAAGCGGAGGCTCTTGAGTTTGAACCCCGGTACCAGGGGGAGCAAAAACCTGGAGGAGGCCTCCAGATCCAGCAGTGCTCTTCTCTATTGTTATTTTATTTTACTTTTGAGACAGAGTCTCACTGTGTGGTTCAGGCTGGCCTTGAACTCTCGGCAGTCCCCTCCCTCAGCCTCCCGAGTGCTGGGAGAACAGGCGTGCGCCCCCACGCCTGGCTTCCAGCTCTGCTCTAGTTGACTGAGTGGCCTTTGGTGATGTCCTGGGCTCTCTGGCTCGCTGTCCCCACTTGTAGAATGGGACATAACGCTGGCTACCTCATAGAGGGTTATTCTGAGGACTGAGGAGCCGCTGCACTGGAACATTTAGGTCGTAGTACCCCGGGCATAATAGGTGCCCAATAAACTGGGGCTGGCACTAACTAGCACCATCCTGGGGGGCAGCTGTCCTGCCTCCCCATGGAGGTGCTTCTGAGACTTGCAGCCTCATCTGGTGAGGGCAGGAGGAGGGCTAAGAGCTAGGAGCCCTTGGTGGGGCTGCAGGGAGGAAGGGCAGGGCCCAGGCACCTTGAGTCTTTCCCCAGGAAGATGTGGCCCTTGCCCCCCTGGGACCACTGCAGGACTGAGAAGGTCCTTGCCCTCTTGGCCTCACCCGTTCTCAGTCACAGCCCTGCTGGGGAACCCAGGTTGTCCCCTGGCAGGGTAGTGTGACCACTCACCCCAGGGGCACCTGACTGGCCATGCCTCCTGTGCCCACGGGACTGGCACTGCCTGCATGGGCATCTTAGACTCCTCAGGCTCTGGGGCCAGGAGCGGGTAGAGCCACAGTTTCCAGAAGCCCCGTGTTTTCTTAGCTTGACCTTTTGAGAAGCACAGGCTTGGGGCAGATTTCTGGGGAGCTTTACTTTAATGTTCTTTCTGGGAGGAGGGCGACATAGGATGAGCACATTTTGCTCAGTGTCTTGGCCAGTGGCTTGGACATTCCCCTGTGAAGTTGATCAGGGACTTAAGATTCAGGGCTCATTTTGTCAGTCCATTCAGTTCCCCACCCAGCTCTTCATCCACCCATCCATGCATCCACTTGCCCACCCAAACCTACCATCTACCTATCTACCATAAAACCAACCAGCTAGTCATTTACTCACCATCCGTCCATTGGTTTACCATCCATCTGGCCATCTACCATCCATCCATTATCTACCATCTGTATGTCTACTGTCCATCTATCCACTCACCACCCACCTGTCCAACTACAGTATGTCAACTCATCTATCCATACACCCATCATCCATCCATCCATCCAACTATCCATCCAATCATCCATCTATTGGCTTACTATCCATCTGTCCACCCACCTGTCCACCCAGAAGCTATCCATCTATCTACCATGTATAAACTCATCTATCACCTCATCTATCCATCTGTCCCTCCCACTCTCCGTCCATCCACCCATCCCCTATCCATCCATCTACTACTTATGTGTCCGTCTGTCCATCCATCCATCCATCCATCCCTCCCTCTACCTCTGTCCCTCTGTCTGTCCACCATCCATCCACCCAACACAAATTTCCTGGAGTATTTCTGAGCCAGGTGCAAGCACACTGCATGGTATCTTAACTTTTTGGAGCTTTTTCTGCAGAAAACCCTTGAGACTTTCTTCCTGTAGCTGTGGCTGCTGCCGCCCTCTCCCTGCCCCTTCCCGTCTCTCTCACTCTGTCCTCCCAGCTCTTTTTCTCAGTCTTTTTGACTGCTCTGCCTCTCTTTTGTCCCCATCCCTCCCTGCGTCTCCAGAACTGTCCCCATACGGGCTGCTCCTGGCCTCTGTCCACTCCCATGCCCTGGGCCTGCGTGGCAGCTCTCCCTGTCTGCCAGGCCCTGCACTGCATCCCCTCCCCGGGCCCTCACATGCTCTGCTCCCTCCCTCCCTCTCCGTACTTTCTTTTGATGAGACGCCAGTGAGGTGATGTCTGGGTTTTGTAAATGTCATAAATAAATTATTAATTGCCCCTTGGGTGGGTGCTGCCCTGCCAGCACAGGCCGTGTTGTGGGGGAGGGCCAAAGCCCAAGGGAACTGTGGTCCAGGTTCCCCTAGATGGCACTCCTGGCCCACAGTGCCCAAGCCAGGGCCTCCCAGCCCCAGGGTGCTGTCGCCCTCCGTCCCTGCCCGCACTCTGAGCACAGCGCAGCGTCTGACTTCCTTAGTTTCTAATTCTCTCCACCACCCAAGAGAAAGGCCACAGTCTGAGGCCCATTTTACAGATGAAGTGAGAGGCCTGGCCAGGAAGGGACCCGTGGGGTCACCTCACCCCCGAAGGGTGGTGGCTGGAAGCCCTGCACCGCCCCTCTGTCCTAGTGGCTGCCAGGTGGCCTTGTCCCCTGCCTGGAGCTGGGTTGGTGCTGGGAAAGGGAGCCCCATGAGCTCAGGTAGGTGCTCAGCCGGGACTGTCCTGGCCGGATTTGCTGGCCACCGAGCTTGCGTCCCTGTTCCTGGCTTGACCTCCCCAATCCTTTGGCCACCCAGAATCAGCTGGCCTCGTTTTTCTCTCCACAGTTGTATGCTTTTCTTTTTGCAGAGCTCTGGCAGCTGTCTCCTGGCGCAGCCACTGCCCCTTCCCAGGGAGGCGGGGCTGGACCTGCAGGCCGGAACCCTCAGTTCGAGGGTGCGGACCCGGGCCTGGCTCCTCAACTCCGTGTCCCCAGGGTGGGGCCCAAGCTCAGCGCAGTGTGCACTGACAGAGTGCTGGCTCTGGGGGGTGCTGTCATCTGGGAGCCAGCACCGCAAGGGACCTCATAGGGTGGTGGGAGCCGCCTGCCTGGGTTCAAATGTGGCACTGCCACCTGCCAGCTGCCGAGCTGAGATAGGGCAGTGGAGGAGAACCTGTGAGCCTCAGTTTCCACATCTGCATATGGAGTGGTAGTTTTGTCTTATTTTGTTTTGGTTTTCTTCCTGAGGATTGACCCAGGGCCTTCATACTGAGCTACACCTCATGTATTTATTTTTTGAGACAGGGCCTCACTAAGTTGCTAGGATTTGAACTGTTGACCCTCCTGCCTCAGCCTTCAAGAGCACTGGGATGACAGGAGTGAGCCACGGCGCCCTGCCGGGAGGGCGGTCCCCATCTGCCGGGGGTTCGTGGGTGGCGCTGAATGAGGCAGCATGTGGGCATCAGCTCTGCAGTGCCACTGTTGGGTGGGAAGGGGCGCCGAGGGGTGACCCAAGAGTGCGGGTAGCTGGGGAGGGCCTGGGTGAGCTCAGCAGGTCCCTGTCTGTCCCCTACCCCAGCCTGCCCGCCCCTCCCCAGGCTGCTAGACTGCGCGCAGAGACACGGCTGGGCTAATGGTCCTAATTATAGCTGGCCGGGATCCATGGTTCCTCGGCCCTTGAAGGGCAGGGCGGGCGAAGCAGGCAGAGCCGGGCGGGCCAGAGGGCGGCTGGGAGCCCCTCACCTCTCTGCCCTGCCACTTCTGGTGGGTGGCAGGGAAGACAGCAGGGCTCCCAGGCACAGGAGGGGCTGAGGTGAGGTTGCCCGCATGGCCACTCCCAGGCCTGCTTTTAGGAGGCTCAGCGCCTGTTTGGGAAGGGGAAAGGGTTAGAGAGGGAGGACAGGACCGGGGCTCGGTGGAGACAGTGTGGAAGGCGGTGTCACAGGGTCCTCAAGGTGTCCGCAGGCTGCCTGTCGCTGTGAGGGGATGGGAAAGGCCCAGTCGCCGCCCTCTGGGGTCGGTTCTGGAACCTTCCCGAGGGGGTTTCCCGGGCAGATGGCCAGGCTGAGAGGGCCGCTGGGAGTGGGGGAGGGGCTGTCTGTGGACAGAGGGCCTGGGGCCGAGTTGCAGGCCCCTCTGGAGTGGGTGGGCTGGCGTGGACGCCTTCCTCCCACCCTGGGTCACCCCAGGCCTCCTTCCAGAGCTTCCCCGCTGCCCGGTGTGCTCTGCCGGTCAGTGGGTCGGTCAGGGACCGAGTGCTGGGCTGGCTTCCTGTCTGCAGACCCCCTGCCGGCAGAGGACAGAGTCCGGTCCAGAGCAACAGGAGGAGGGAGGCCCCCAGTGGTTGCATCAGCCCAGAGGCTGTTACATAACATCACGGTGTCAGCATGCCGGGGGGTGGGGTGGCTCTGGCCTCCCTCGCTGTGGAGCCGGGCAGTGGGCAGGTGAGGAGCGACCTGTGTCCTGTTGGCCACCCCAGTTCCTCGCCAGCCCTGACTGCTGCCGCCAGCCTCCTCTGCTCCAGACTCTTGGGGTCACAGAGCCAGCTGGTTTGAAAAATCCCAACCACCCCTAGCATCAGCCCAGCTTTGGAGTCAGTCTGTGCACTGGAGCCCTGCTGAGGCCACCATGGCCCTGCCTCCATCGTGCCCCTGTCTGCGGGGGGACACACCCCACCTCGCTGGGCCCCTCTCCAGACGGGCAGGGCGCTGTGCACTCTGGGGCCCCGGGCAGGACAGGACTCGCTCCCTAGATGGAGCCCGAGGCCAAGGGCTGCCAGTGTCTTCTGGGAGTGGGGTGTGTGTGGGTGAAGCTGTAGCCATGCTCTGTCCCTGGGGCCTGGGCCGGCACACGCACCATTGTGGAGGCCGGGGGAACATGAGCTGCGTCCTGGGCGTGCATATGCGTGTCCGCATCCACGTAGGTGGCTGTTGTGTCTGCCGCCTGTAGTCTGCACTGTGCCACACCCACAGCCGGCCAGTGGGTTGAAGGAGCAGAGTGGTAACAGCGCTGGCGGGGGCCTCTCCTGGGTGGACGTCCCCTGGGAAGCCCAGGAGCCCTCACCCTCAGGGTCACTGGCCGGGGTCCATGAGGCAGTGCCCTGGTGTTGCACGGCCTCTGAGTGCTCCTCCTGGCCCTGCAGCCCTGATGCCTCTCCTCCACCCCCAAGCCCCCCCAGCCTCTCAGAGCACACGGGGAGGGCCCCCAGGACAAGCTGGGTGCGGGTCACTGGCCTGGAGGGGTCTGGCTCTCTCCTCTCCCCCTGTGGGTGGACACATCTCTGGGTGATGTGTTGGTGCCCTGTGCCCCGAGAGGACCCTCCGTGGGGCATGCCTGCTGCCTGCTGCCCGGCCCACCCTCTCCCATTGTGGGCAGCACGGAGCTGCAGCTGCCCAAGCCCCCTGAAGCCCGCCCGCTCCCTGTCGGCCTTTGCAGTCTGGGAGTGCGTGAGGGAATTTGGGTCCTGGCAGTGTGTCAGGCGCGGCGGCTCTCTGAGTGCCCTCCTCTGGTGCCCGGCCGGCTGGGCCTGGCGTCCTGACCCTGCGCTCATGGTGGTGGGCAGTATGGCCGGTGGGCGCAGCGTGGGCACAGCCTCCCAGGAAGGGGGTCTTGTCGTGACACCGGGCCGAGCCCCACCCCTAGCCCTGGCACGTGGGTGCCACTCGGGTCAGCCTCCCTGGGGCGGGGGAGAGAGGCTCGCAGGGCTGCTTCCCGGGAGCCCTGCTGAGGCCTGATTGTGGGGCTCAGCTGCCCCGCTGTCGAGTTTGCGGACAGGTGAGGCGAGCAGCGCAGCCCGGGCCCGGCAGGTGTCCGCACTGGGTCCAGGCGGGCGCAGTGGCTGAGGCCGTGCACGCAGGGGGCCCCTGTGGCTCTGTGCGCCCACCCGTGACAGGGCGAAGGGTGGGTTAACTCCTCCCCTCCGGCTCTTCCAGAGGAAGAAGATGGGGGCCTGGAAGGCTTCGATGACTTTTTCCCTACGGAGCCCATGAGCCTCCCCAAGAAGAAGAAAGCTAAGAAGCTGAAGGACAGCAAGTCCAAGGGGAAGCGGAAGAAGAAAGAGGTGAGGGTGAGGGTGGGTGGGCGCCACAGGAAGACCCTGCTGACCGGGCCTTGGGTGCGACTCCCGCTCCCCCCGCCCCCCCCCCCTCCCTCCCTCCCTTTTCGTCCCTTCCCACTTTCCCTCTCCCCTGCCTCCTCTGTTCTGCAGCAGTGGGGACTGATTGAGCCCAGGGCCGTGTGCTAAGCTACACCCCAACCCTTACTATTTTGAGCCCAGGCTGGCCTCGTATTACCTTCCTGCCTCAGCCTCCTCTGAGCAGCTGGAGTTACCACCCCTGGCTGCACTGCGTCACCAGGATCGTCCTGTGACGGGACGGTGACATCACCATGCTGTCGCTTTGCTCACAGCTGCTTGTTCATTGGCTGTTTGGTCGGTGCCCTCCCTGCGTCCCGGGCTCTAGGCCCTGTCAGGTGCCTCTCCTGGCCGCCCAGGCAGAGCCTCCGTCCCTCTGTATAATACAGAAAGCTGGAGAAGGCTGTGGGCACCGGGGCTGCTGGCCCCTGTGAGTGCAGTGCTGAGTCTGGGGTTCCTCATCCTTGTCCTTTGCTTCCTGGGTCTCAGTGCTTCCAGGTGGGAGAGGTTGTGACTCAGGGTTGGCGTGTGTGCGTGCGTGCGTGAGTGACATTTTCTTCTCTGGAAATAGGTGGGGTGAGATGGATCATGGGCCACAGATGGGGAACATGGGGTCAAAGTCCTCTCTGCTTGGAATGGGACCCAGACACCCCTGGCTGTTATCTGACAGGCTTTGGGGTGCCATCTCCAGTCCTCCAGAAAGCCCTGCAGGCTCTGGGTGACCTTGCCTGGGGTCACACGTGGCCGCCTCCTGGCCTGCCATGTTTCTCCATGTTTCCAGGTTGAAGGCCGTGGGATGCAGGCCTTGACCTTCAGGTGGAGGCTGTGACATCTTGTTCTGTGGTCGCCACTGCCCTCAGCCCGGCAATGTCCCAGGCCTTGGGCAAGGGCTTCCTGAAGGAGCCCCCTGCCCAGCATCTCAGTTTTCTTTCAAGCAGTTCCTGGCACCTGCATGGGAGGCCAGGCCAAGAGGTGACCCCACCTAGCCTGGGGTTTCCCATGCAGCCCCTGCAGGGTGCACAGGTGCCTGTGGGAGCCCCACCTGGGTGGAGCTGTCTTTTTCCTCCTCCCTGCTGCTTGCAGCTTGGGCAGTGGCCCTGGCCAGGAAGGAGGCCGGAAGTGGGCGGCCTCTGGACACAGGCCTCCGTGGGAGGTGCTGGGGTTAGGTGGCCTCCGAGGCCAGGCCGGGAGGCTGCTCTCTGCTTGTCTCGTGACTGCCAAGGGCTCCTCCTTTTTCCAGCTGGCCCAGATTTTCTTTCCTGGAGACATGTTTTTGTTTTTGCCTCTGTACGGTTCCTCCTGCTTCTGTCTGCAGCCTTGCTGGGCCTCACACGGTCTCTCCCTCTGGCCTGAGCGTGGTCTTGGCCCTGTTGATTTCTCCCTCCCCTCCCCTCCCCCCTCCTTCCCTCCATGCTCTCTGCTGAGATGCATGCTGCTGCTTAAAAGTGGGGGAGCTCAGGATGGACTGGGGCCCGGAGGACAGGCCCTGAGGTGCCCTCCCTGGATCCCTGAGAGCCTGGCTCTGAGGGCTGTCGATCTCAGGGGGCCCACAGTGTGCTGTGTCCGGAGGATCTGGGGTTCCTCCCCTGCAGACTGGGGCTTCACACCACAGGCAGGAGAATTGCACCCCCTTTGCCCCTCTCCATCTCCAGCAGGTGACCCCAAGATGTTGCTGGTGGGTCCTGAGCATCAGTTTGGGGGTGGCAGACAGCAAGTCGTGGATTCTGATTTACATAAAATAACCGGGCTGCAGCCGGAACCTGAGCATATGTAGATGAAGCTCCTTGTCAGACCCGAGCGAGTGCAGGAGGGAGAAATGATTTCAACCTGTACTGCAGCGGTTACCATGGCAACCAATTATTCAGTGCTAAATTATAACTGTTTATAACACTCGTGAATGGGAAGGCTCATATTTCATTCTTTCTTTTTTCCCTCTGAATCTTGAAGGACCCCGAATTGAGGATGACCAACTCGTCCAGCCCTCCCTTTGAGTTTAAATGCCTCCTTTTTCGGCAGATGAGGTGCATGTGCCTGGCTTGTGGAGGGGGTGGGGAGAGGGAGGCAAGAGGCCTCGATCCAGAAACATCTGCGGAGCTGGGAAGGAGGAAGGGCGGTGGGCAGCCCCCGGGGTCCCCTGAGCTGGTGCTGGCATGCTGGCCCTCAGTGGGGGAGAGTGGCGTGCAGAGCACCCCCCAGGGTCCGGGTCCAGGGTGCCTTGGGAGGGATTCCAAAGTTCTAGAGTCTTCTTCCAGCCCATGGCACATCCCCCAGGGTCACGTCCAGGCCTGCGGCAGCCAAAGGACAATGACAAGGTCAGAGGCCTGACTGTCATCGGGATTTTCACAGCCTGCGGTGAGGTTGGATGTTGGACCTGAGATCAGCTTATTAGGGAATTGTTGGTCTGAGCCCAGGTCTCCTCCCCTGAGTGGGGCGTGGCCTGAAACCCCCTTTGAGGTTTCAGGATATTGAAGTCTTTCTCCTTCTGGTCCTTGGTCCTTTCCTCCTTCCTTCTTTTTTGTTCTTTTCGGCACTGGCCATTGAAGCCAAGGGTACTCTGGCACTGAGCTACATCCCCAGTGCTTTTTATTTTGAGACAGCATCTCACCAAGTTGCCTGGGCTGGCCTCAAGCTTGTGACCTTCCTGCCTCAGTTTCTCCAGTAGCGGGGATTACAGATGTGCGGTGCTGCTCTTGGCCTTTCTTACCCTCTGGCACTGACGACAGTCTGCCCTCCAGGTCCTGCTGATGGGTCGCTTTGAGTTGTTCTCAGAATCATCTGTAGCTTTTCCTCTTGCCCCTTGCTCTGCAGGGAAAGGCTTTGGGGAGAGGAAGGAAGCCCAGCTGTGCAAGTGTCAAAGGTGTGGAGTTCTGCACCCCCTCTCAGCCAGCCCCGGTGTGGGGAGAAGGGCTTGGGTGAGATCAGGGAAGTGGTGCCTCAGACCACGTGGGGTTCACGTGGTGGAGGCAGGATAGAGAGGCCCTAGCTGGGCCCTGCTGGCCACTCTGCCTCTCCTGCACCCTGGGTCGTGCAGTGCACACTTCCCATCAGATGGATCCCTGGGCCGCCTCCCTCCCCCACTGTTGCCCCAGTGGCCCCTTCTTGCCTGAGTGTGGCCCAGTCGCAGGTTCTGCAGTGTAGATGGCTGTAGCCCAGTCCCAGTGGGTGGAAACGAGGGTACTGGGCCCAGCCGGTTTCCTCCAGGTGGTCCCTCCCTTCCAAGAAGAGTTGAGGTTGTCCTGGGTCCTCGGGGAGGAAGTGCATGTGGTACCTGGGCAGGGCCTGCTGGGGTCAGATGGCTCTGGGCTGGCCGAGTTCAGTGCTGGGGCGCCTCTGTGAGGCTTGGTCCTAGAGACCTGGCCCTTCCATTCTGCTCCTGTGTTTGAGCATGGCTTCTCCTCGCCAGCTGGCTGCCTCCCATGGCAGAAATGTTGAAGGCGTTTTCTTACACCTTGTGGCATCCTCGTTGCACAGATGAGGCAGCTGAGGTTTGAGTTGCTGTGCTCACCTGCTCAAGTCCCAGGCTAGCAAGGGGCAGGGCTCCCCTGGCAGCCCTGGGCTCCCTGGCCTCATCCCTGGTTGGTCTGCGGTCCACCCCTGGGCAGCTGAGGTCCCCTCCCCGGGGTGGCCCGCGGCCCCTGTCCGTGGTGCTGAAGCGCCAGCAGCCTCTCCCTCCCATCCTTCCCTTCGCTGGGTGGGCTGCAGCGTGCCTCCCAGGGGCTTCTCGAAGCCACTTGAGCTCTGACACCCACAGAGGAAGAGGATGTCCCTGTCTGACCCTCACCTTCCCCAGACCCTGGGAGCAGGGTTCTCCCCCAGCCAGGCTCAGGTGGCTTCTAGAGGGGGACCCCTGTGGCTGAGTCAGTATTCTGGGAAACACCAGGGTTCCAGAAAAGCCAGGAAGCCCTGCTGTTGGTGGCTGCCTGCGCCTCTGACTTGGCGATGAATGGTTGGAGGTTTGTGAGCTGGGAGGCTACGGGAGGCAGGAGAGCCAGGTGGTGCAGCGCACATGTGGGTGGGGTCCTTCCCAGCCGGACCTCAGGGCCCCTGGCCCCTCCACTAACCACTGGGACAGGCCTGTCCAGAGCCTCTCAGGGAGACTGCTGCCCCTGCTGCGCCTCATCCCCCCACGCCCTCCTTTTCCTCCCCTCCCCTCTCCTATCCAATGCCTGCCTCTTCCCCACTGCTGTTTCCTGAGCTCATTTTTCATCTCTCCACTTTTCTCTCCATCTCTTCCCACCTTCCCTTTGCTCACCTTGAAAACAGTTCACAGCAATCACGGAGCAGTGAGCTCCAATCGAGCACGTAGGTAATTGCAGCAGCAGGGAGAGCCCTCCCCAGACCCAGGCCGGAGGAGCTGGGAAGCGTTGTCCACTTGTCTGGAAAGGCCGGGAGTAAACTGCTCCTGGAGAGGGGCAGACCCTTTCTGGTGGGGATGCTCTGGCTGTAGGTGCCCTTATCTCCATATAAATGGGCCACTTTCTGCCTGCACAGACAGGAAACTAAATCAGAGAAGCCAAATTTAAGAGCTGCCTGACTCACCTTGTTTCCTATTGAAGTGTCCAGCTTGGGGGTGTTGGGAAGGTGGGCTTCTGCCCCGGCAGCTCGGTAGAGCAGGCCAGTGGACAGGATGAGGTGGGTGGCTTCTGGCGCTGTTTACAGGGTTCTCTCAATCTGCAAGGCTGCACAGGGTGCCACACAAGCAGAGCTGCAGGCCTGCGGCCCAGTGGGTGCGAGTCCATGGATTAACTCTGCTACTCCAGGGTTTTCCTGTGCACTTTGGATATTGACTCTGGGCCTCACACCCCTAACCCCGAGCTCCTGAGTGGTAGCCCCATCGTGCAGCCTGGCTGTGACCAAAGCCTGCTTAAGGCTGGCTACAGTGAGCTTGCCTGGGGAGTCTCGCATCACCTGCACACTCTACCATTCCCTGGAGGACAGGACCTTTGCTGGGTGGGCGCGGGCCTGAGCTGTGAGCAGGGATGACTGGTCCTAAGTGCTGGCTGGCCCTCAGGTCAGGTCACTGCCGCCCAGCCCCCTGGCTTCCCAAGCAGGTCTCGTCAGCCTCAGTGTCCGCCTTTTCTTTCCAGGGGAGCAATGACGAGCTGTCGGCCAATGACGAGGATCTGGAGGAGAGGTCGGAGAGTGAGGGGAGCGACTACTCCCCCAACAAGAAGAAGAAGAAGAAGCTCAAGGACAAGAAGGAGAAAAAAGCCAAGCGGAGAAAGAAGGACGAAGATGAGGAGGACAATGAAGACGGGTGCTTAAAGGTGACAGCCGGGCCGGGGCGAAGGCCTTAGTGCTGATGGGGCCGCAGCCCAGTGGTGCACCCTCTAATGCGTCCTGTCCCACCGGGGGAAGGGAGTGTGCGTGCGTGCCTGTGGATGTGAGCAGCCTGTGAAAAGTGCCTTGATCAGAGTCTCAGGGGCGAGTTTGAAGTAGTGACAGATGACTCTCAGTGTCTGGGGGGATCAGGCAGCGTCTTGCTGTTTCCCAGCTGCTCGGCCTGGCTGGGCCGCATGGTGCACCTGTTTCCTGGGAGAGTGACAGGTAGTATGCGCTCCAGCTTCACATCGGAGCCTCTTGCTCGGGCCAGTTGGGGAGAGTCAAATGGGCAGAGGCTGTGCGTGGAGTCGGAAGGGCCCTCTGGAGGTCTGCCTGGCGGGGTTCCCACGCCTGAGAAGCTGGAGCAGGGCAGCTGCAGATCTTCCCCGTGCAGGTGGGAAACAGTGGGAAATGAGCCAAGGCTTTGGGGTCGCCTGATGCCCCTGTCCCCATGTCTCAGAGATCCCGCGTGGGGACTGTAGGGCTTGGCTCTGGGGCGGTGGGCGGAGGAGCTCGAGTAGTAGGAGCACCTTGCTCCCAGAGCACAGTGGGCACTGAGGCCAGGGCTGCTGGGTGGGGCCGCGATGCTGAGTGTGAATCACGGGCCCCCCCGACAGGCGCTTCTTGCTGGGGGTCCTGATACCCACAGCGCTCCGGTGTGCGGGTGGGGGTGTCGTGAGTCATCCGTGATGGTGACGGTGTCACCCCTCGCGTGTGCTGCAGGAACGCCAGGAGCACCAGGGGGCACCTATGGGAACAGCTCCAAGTGGTTGGGAGCCAGTTCCAGAGCCCTCCTGCTGCGGGAGTCGGCGGCTCTGGGAGGGAGACTGCCCGACCTGGCCGGCCTTCCACTGTGGGAGCAGAAGGCCTGGCTCCCAGTCCTACAGGGCAAAGGTGGATCAGGGCCCCGAGAACTGAGGGACACTGGGGCTTCTGGGCTGTGGGGCCCAGTGCTGTCCTCTGGGGATTTTTTTCAGTCCTGGGGGGATTGAACCCAGGGCCTTCACACAGAGCTGCATCCCCAACCCCTTTTATTTTGAGAAAAGGTCGCACTAAGTTGCTAAGTTGCCTAGGCGTGGCTTGAACTTTTGATTCTCCTGCCTCAGCCTCCAGAGTGCTGGGATGACAGGTGTGCACTATAGTACACGGCTCAGGGATGGTGTTTTGCTCCCTCTCTCTGCCTTTGTGGGGTCTACTTCAGGCTTGGGCGCGGTGTGGCAGCGAGTGGGTGCAGAACAGGTCGGGGGATGTCCAAGCAGGAGACTGGGCTGGGTCTCTTCCCCAGGAGTGCGTGCGGGGTTTAGGGTCTCTGGGCTGTGGGGAGCAAGGCAGCTGCATCGGGCGCTAACAGTCCCTAACACATCCCCACGTGTCCCTCTTCCAAGCACCTGCACTAACTTGTCCTCTCCTATGATGCTTGTGCTGCTTGGTGCCCATCATAGAGATGGGGAAACTGAGGCAGAGAAGGGCAACAACTTGGATGTGGCAGAGCCCGACAGCCCAGCCCATAGCCTGTGTCTCCCTGTGTGATGCTAGCTCTCCGGGGCATCTGATCCTCGGCTCACCTGACCCCTAGGCCTGCTGGGTGTCCCTGGGATGCCCTGCCCTCAGGGCCCCGTCTGGGAAGTAAGCCAGCGGCTGAGGGACCTCTCAGCTCTGCCCCTGGCCTGGGCGCATCTTTCTGCCCTCAGAACCTAGCCCTGTCCTTTTAGGGTCCGTGGGGACTGCTCTGGGGCCCCTGGGGCAGACTCGTTTCTCCCCAGCACACCTTAGCACCCCTCAGCAGCTTCCTCCCCAGGGACATCTCCCTCCCCAGTCTCCAAGCTTCCCTGTGGTGAAAGCCCTGCTCCCCTCGTCTGGGGCCCTGAGTTCAGCAGCTCCATCACCCAGGGCCCTGGGCTGGGCTCTGGCCTCATCTCCCGAAGTTCCCTGGCTTTCCTATTCTGGGGTCCTGGGCTCCTGTGACCTCCCCAAGCCCGAGAGCTGGCATCTGGAGTGCCCCACTGCCCGGGCACTGGGGAGCAGGGTGCTGTAGGGGCCCAGGGGTGGGTGAGGCTGTGCGCGGGGTTAAGTTGCATCCTTGCCCTATCCGAGGCGTCCCAGGCAGGGCCCTGCGGAGAGGAGTGTGGGCCAGGGCCCGCCTCTGATTTCACCTCTGGCCCTGACTTCCCAGGAGCCCAAGTCCTCGGGGCAGCTCATGGCTGAGTGGGGCCTGGACGACGTGGACTACCTGTTCTCAGAGGAGGACTACCACACACTGACCAACTACAAGGCCTTCAGCCAGTTCCTCCGGTGGGTGGCGGGCCAGGGAGGGGGACAGCGAGAGCGAGAGCCCCGCCTCCCTGGGAGGGGAGTATTCAGGCCACTTCCTGACCTGCCTGGGTCCTGGGGAGAAGGCTTCGTCCTCCATGCGCCCCAGGTCTCGTCCCTGCCCCCGTGGGTGGCCTGCTGCAGGCCTCTCTGGCCCTGAATCTGCAAACCACTTAGAAAATTGCACTCACGAAGAGGGGGCCGGGAGCGTTTGGGGTGCACCTCGGGCTCAGCTTCCTCTGACCAGGGACCTGAGGCTGCTGCCGCCCACTGCAGGGCGGGGAACGGACGGGCACGGCCCTCACCACTGCCTCTGCCCACAGGCCGCTCATTGCCAAGAAGAACCCGAAGATCCCCATGTCCAAAATGATGACCGTGCTGGGGGCCAAGTGGCGGGAGTTCAGCGCCAACAACCCCTTGAAGGGCAGCTCCGCGGTGGCGGCAGCAGCGGCCGTGGCTGCAGCTGTGGAGACGGTCATCATCGCGCCTCCGCTGGCCGTCAGCCCCCAGCCGGTGCCCCAGCCTGTGCCCCTCCGCAAGGCCAAGACCAAAGAGGGCAAGGGTAAGGCTGCAGAAGGGGCACCGAGCCCGCCCCACCCCGTGGCGTTGCACGTCAAGGACCCAGGCCCATGAGCCCCTTCTCAGCAGTCCTGCAGCATTGGTTTTGTTTTCTGCTCTGCCTGCCTTTTGGGGTATGGAGGTGCATGCCTGTGATCCTGGCAGTTGGGAGGCCGAGGCAGGAGGATTGAAGAGACTTGGAGGCCAGCTTGGGTTACATAATGAGTTCAAGGCCAGCCTGAACTACATAGCCAGACCCTGTCTCAAAAACAGACAGAGATGATGTGAGCAGAGCTCTAGGAGGCAGAGGCAGGGGAGGCTTGCAGGGGTAGCTGTCCCAGCCTGGGGCTTTAAGTTGTAGGCACCCCAGGTGAGCCTGTTGTCCCCTCTCACCCGGGCTCACTGTGTACGCTGGGTCCTTCTCCAAGACCAAAGCGGGCAAAGATCAAGTCCTTTCCTTCTGGCTCTGGGACCCCGGGCACAAAGGAGTTTGGAGCAGAGTGGGCCAGGCCAGGGCTGCTCTGCGGGGAGGCCTGGAAGGACATCCATGTCCACCGCCATGGCTGCTGGGTGTGTGTGCTCGGGAGGGCAGGAGCTGGGGAGGTTCGGGGCCATCCCTCCGCCTGGGGCTATCTCTGGGTGTCACCAGTGGCTCAACCTTCCCGGTGCTGATCTGGGTTGTGATGAGGGATGGGGGCTCTGTGCTCCAAGGCGCTTTGGTTTCTGGGATGATTCAGGCTGCTGGCTCTGGTGCTTCTTGGCCAGGTCTTAGGGACCCACACCCTATTCTGCCCCATCCTGGTCACCGGGACTCAGGAAGGGCCTGGCCCATCACCTGCCTGTTCGGCTTCCTTCCTTTCTCATTTTCTCTTGGGCTCTGGCTGCTGAGCCTTCAATTCCCTGAGCTGCCTATTCTGAGCTTGAAAAATTGAACTAGATTTTCTGTGGCGCCACTGAAGGCTCAGCTGGGCTCCCACCGCCCGTGTTCTCGCGTGGCCAGAGGGAGGCCTGGGGCAGGGCCACCTGTGTGGGGTGGGAATCAGAGACAGGCCCCTCCTCCCCGCTCATCCTAGCAACAGAGGGATGGGCTGCTGGGCGGGGCATCATTCCTCTCTGGGTGGTGCCCGGACGGCCTGGGATGGATGGGGAGGCTGGATGGCCTTCCAGGGTCCAGGCAGGGACCACAGGTGGGCACTGTGCCCTCAGAGGACCTGCTGGCGTGGAGGCTGGGGATGGGGACAGTGTGGCCAGCGCTGCTGGTGTTTGTGGCAGAGGGACCGCATGGTGGCCAGGCAGGCAGACCGGGCGGCTTGGTGTCTGGCTTTCCCCAAGGACTTCACCTCTCGGGCCCTGTCATGTTGTCTGGAAAGGGATCGAGGTGGGAACAACGACTCCTTACCGGAAACTATGAGGGCTCTGGGGAGGGGCGGTGGCCGTGGCCGCCACCAGTCATCCAGACCCTTGCTTCTCAGGGCCCGGAGTGAGGAAGAAGATGAAAGGCCCCAAAGACGGGAAGAAGAAGGGGAAGGGCAAGAAGGTGGCCGGGCTCAAGTTCCGCTTCGGGGGCATCAGCAACAAGAGGAAGAAAGGCTCCTCGGTGAGAGGGTGGGCGCGTGTGTGGCAGATGACCAGGGCAGCTCGTTCTCCCGAGCCCCCGGGGCAGGTCCTCTCCATTCTGCCTGGGGCTGCCAGGCCTCTTCTCGGGGTCTGGCTGGGGCTGGAGACCTCAACCTTCCCAGGGACCCTCCAGTTTGGACTCCGGCCAGGCCTCTGTCCAGCCCACGGCCACAGCTCCGAGTAGCGGAAGGTGGGAGAGTCAGTGGGCCCCTCAGGGTCCTCCTGGGCCCGGTGTGATTTAGGCTGCTCTGGAGGGAGTGCAGCAGCACAGCTCCACTTAGCAAGTGTGTGATAAGCACCTGCTATGTGCCAGCTCTGTGCTGAGCTATGGTGGCATGGCCACCGGGAGGGAGCCAGCGATGTCGTGTGGGTCCAGCCAAGGAGAGATCTGGGGAGACTGAAGGGATTGTCGGCTCTGCTCCCTGAAGGGTGTGTAGGAGTTTGGCAGGAGGCAGGGCAGGGCCTGGGCGTCAGGCTGGCCTGGGCTGTGGTGTGGGGGCGAGGTGAACCCCAGGGTGCACTGTCCCCAGGGCCTGCTCTGGCCCTGCCCCGCCACACACTGCACAGGCCACCAAGGCCCTGGGATGAGCCCCAGCGCCCAGCCTGGCTCACAGGCCCCTCCCCTTCCCTGCAGAGTGAGGAGGACGAGCGGGAGGAGTCGGACTTGGACAGCGCCAGCATCCACAGCTCCTCAGTGCGCTCCGAGTGCTCTGCAGCCTTGGGCAAAAAGAGCAAGAGGAGGCGCAAGAAGAAGAGAAGTAGGGCTTCCTGCTGGAGGGTTGTTGGGCCTTTTCGGTGCATGAGAGATCCAGAGCCTCCCCTTCCCTGGGGTGCCCTTCCCTGCCTCCCCATGCCTTGACTGCTGGGGGCTCAGCCAGGCAGCTGCCCTGTGCTTCCCGAACGGCCCTCATCTGCACTGCCGGGGAGGGTGTCCTGTCACTGAGAGGAAGAAATGAGGAACTTAGGATGTGACCAGCCCAGGCAGGGTGGGCTAGAGAAGCACTTAAGTTTGCCCACCATCCACACCTTCAGTCACCCACCCCTCTCCCAGCCCACCCAACACCCACCTGTCTGCTCATCCCCACGGCTGTCTTTTCCTCTGCTGCCCTCCTTCCCTTCTTCTTCACCTCCCTGCCTTTTATTCTTCTGGCCATGAGTTCATCTACATGGATCTGTTCTTTCTGCCCATTCACCCACTCTCCTACCTTTCCCTCCTTTCTTCTTTTATCCATCTTCTGTCCATCTCGTCACTCTTTGACTACTTTAGCCATTCTCCAACATTTATTCAACCCATCAGTCCATCCACCCACCTGCCCACCTGTTCACCCATCCTTCACCCATCTACTCACATATCCATCTACCCAGACACCCATCCACCCGCCCACTCACCCATCCATCCATCCACTTACCTATCCTTCTACTCATCCAAACCTTCCCACCCATCCATCCACCCATCTTTCCACTCACCTACCCATCCATCCACCCACCCACCTATCCACTGATCTACTCACCTGTCCATCCACCCACCCATGCGTTTAACCACCCATCCACCTACTCACCCATCCATCCATCCATCCCCCATCTAACTCTCCATTCGCCTAGCCACCCATCTATCCATCCATCTACCTATCCTTCCATCCACTTACACACTCATCCACCCATCCACCTATCCATTTACCTACACATCCATCTATCCATCCACTCATTCATCCACCCACCTACTACCTACCCACCCATTCATCCATCTACTCACCTATCCACCCACCACTCACCCACCTACCTGTCCCTCCCTCCATTCACTCATCACCTACCCACCCACCCATCCACCCACCCACCCATCCAGCACTTAATTGTCCACTTACCCACCACCTATCCCTCCCTCCATCTGCTCGTCCACTCACCCATCCATCTACCCATCCACCCATCTGCCCATCCACACATCCATCCATCCACCTATCCATCCATCCATCCATGCATCCATCCACCTGCTCATTTACCCACCCACCCATCCACCAGCCAACACCTGTAGTGTGTATCTGCTGGGGTGGGAGAGGTGGTTGTGCATCGCTAGTGGGGATCAGGCTCTCCATCACCGCCTCTCCCGTTCCAGTTGATGATGGTGACGGCTACGAGACTGACCACCAGGATTACTGCGAGGTGTGCCAGCAGGGCGGGGAGATCATCCTGTGTGACACCTGCCCGCGGGCCTACCACCTGGTGTGCCTGGACCCTGAGCTGGAGAAGGCTCCTGAGGGCAAGTGGAGCTGCCCGCACTGTGTACGTCTGGGCGGGTGGGCTGGGGCGGGGGCGGCGTGGGGAGGAGCCGCGAGGGATGGCCAGCGTGCCCCCGCCTGGACTCCCCCAGGAGAAGGAAGGCATCCAGTGGGAGCCGAAGGATGACGACGACGAGGAGGAGGAGCCCGGCTGTGAGGAGGAGGAGGACGACCACATGGAGTTCTGCCGCGTGTGCAAGGATGGCGGCGAGCTGCTCTGCTGCGACGCCTGCCCGTCCTCCTACCACCTGCACTGCCTCAACCCGCCGCTGCCTGAGATTCCAAATGGTGAATGGCTCTGCCCGCGCTGTACTGTGAGTGTTACGCCACCCCACCCCACCCTGCCCCGCCCCAATGCCCCACCCCGCCCAGACCACGCCCACCGGGAACGGCCCCGCCCCACGGTTCAACCTGAGCCTGAGCGCCCCACCCCTGCTGGCCCAGGCCACACCCCCGCGGGCCCCGCCCCGCCTCGCCCAGGCCGCTCGAGGCCACGCCCCCACCTCACCCCGCCTGTCAGCTTGCTGGGTCGCTCAGGACTGACATCCCAGCCACTGTTTACTGAGCGTTTACTCTGCACCAAGGGCTTTGCGTACACTGCGTTCCTCCAGCCTTACTCAGATTGCGAGTCCGAGCTGTTATTCCTATTTTCAGATGAGAACCTTGAGGCTCAGGGAGGTGAAGTGACTGGCTCAGGGCCACACGGCATCCCAGATCTCTAGTACTGTGCACGACCTGGCTCCCGCCCCAAGCTGGGGTCTGGAGAGGGTAGGAGGCTCCAGGTGCTGGAGCTCCAGCTTGTGAGGGACAGGGGAGCGCTCCCCTGACACCCCACTCCTTGCTCCCAGTCACTGCAGGCAGTGTCTCTGACTAGATCCTACCCACCCCCTGGGGTTGTGCTGCCGTGGGCTTGTGTGTGTGTGTCTGTGCTGTGCACACGTGTGCACACGTCCGTGTCTGTGGAGGGGTCTGGGGGCCCACTGCACCGGCGCACCTCCTCAGCTTTCCTGGCAAGCTGCCCAGGAGCTTCATGCCTCCTGGCCTCATTGTCCCCCAAGCCAGTGTAGGCGGCTCTTCCTCCTCTCCTCTTGGCCTCTGCTCTCACTGAGGGAAAACCAGGTCTGCTGGGGCTTGGGATGAGTTCCCAGCCCTAGAAGGCCTGTGTGTGTGATTGGATTGGGCACCAGCAGATCTGGGAGGGGAGGCTGGTAAACAAGCTCAGGTGGCTGTGACAAAGCGCAGGGCAGAGGGGCAGAGCTGGGACCTGCCAACCTTACCCCGTTCAGCCTCCTTTGAGGCCCAGGGCTGTGTGCTCAGTGTGCTGGGTGGTGCTTTGTGCTACCCTGCCACCCTCTGGAGCCCCAGCATCCTGGGCCCCCAGTGTGTTTCCAGGCTGATGGAGACCGGCCAGTGCACACGTGTGGGGCCTGGGGGCAGCCTTGCCCGGGGTGGCAGAGGTGGGTGGGTTGCAGCCCCCTGAGCTCCATGCCCTGAGGGTGGGTCTGGGTATGACATGTTCTCAGCAGGCTGTAAGCAGGACATGGGGCAGTGGGGGTACCGCGGTCATGAGGAGTCCAGAGCCTTGGGCTCTGCTTCCTGCTCTGCGGTCCCATGCTGAGAGGGCCTCGCTTTTCCCATCCATCCTGGCTCAGGTTGGCCATGTGATAATAAGCTCACTGCCAAGTGTGAAGGTCCCCGGACTGCCATGTCCTGTAGTGGTCCCGCGGATGGAGAGACCGTGGGGTCACCGCAGCACTGACTGGGGGACCATGCATTGGTTGGAGGGAGCCTGTAAAACAGTCTGCTGTCGTGGGAGCCTCAGGGTGGAGCCTGGCAGCTCAGCCCTGAACTTGGGAACCCTCTTCTGTCCACAGTGTCCCCCACTGAAGGGCAAAGTCCAGCGGATTCTACACTGGAGGTGGACCGAGCCCCCGGCACCCTTCATGGTTGGGCTGCCGGGACCGGACGTGGAGCCAGGTGTGCCTCCGCCCAAGCCACTGGAGGGCATCCCGGAGAGGGAGTTCTTTGTCAAGTGGGCTGGGCTGTCCTACTGGCACTGCTCCTGGGTGAAGGAGCTGCAGGTGAGGCACCTGAGCAGGTGTGAGTGTGGTCATCTCCGAGCTGCCCAGCCTCCCGGGGGAAGGGCACCGTCGGGGCTGGGAGCTGGACCAAGGGTCTCGGGGCACGGCCCATCCTCCTGACCTTCTGTGCCCCCGGGAGCAGCTGGAGCTGTACCACACCGTGATGTACCGCAACTACCAAAGAAAGAACGACATGGACGAGCCGCCACCCTTCGACTACGGCTCTGGCGACGAGGATGGCAAGAGTGAGAAGAGGAAGAACAAGGACCCCCTCTATGCCAAGATGGAGGAGCGCTTCTACCGCTACGGCATCAAGCCCGAGTGGATGATGGTCCACCGCATCCTGAACCACAGGTGTGCGCCGCAGTGGTGGCCCTGGGTCAGGCAGGTGCTACAGGGCCACCGGGCCGGGACACACTGCTCTCACCCTGACTGATGCCCTGCGAGCCCCGGCAGGGTGGACCCTGCGCTCCCAGCTCCTGCTGAGTTAGTGCGCGGTGCCTGAAGGAGGTTGTGAGGCCCAGCGAGGGCCAGAGGTGTGGCGGATGTGCACCTCAGTGAGTTTATAGCAGTGGCTGGCATTTCTGAGTGCAACCACCCCGAGGGGCAAAGGCGAGAATTGAACCCAGTGCTTTTTGAGGGCAGGTCTTACTTTCTGGGCTGCCATTCCAGCCCTCAGTGCTCCTAGGTGAGCAGTCTGGAAAGCTCCCAGGTGGTGGGGCCATCAGAGGCTGGGAAGGCAGGATGAAGAGTAATCCAGAAGAGGAGCCCGCTGATTCTTGAGCTCCGGTGCCTGAGAATAGGTGGCGGCCCAGGGTGGCAGCAGGAGCTCTGCATGCCTCACTTTGAACCTCAACTTCCTGGCTGTGGCTGGTGGCGTGGGGGTTAGGGCTGGTGGCTCCCACTGCGAGTGTCCCTGGCTGCAGGGTCCCGCCAGGCCCCAGGCAGCCTCTGGGGGCGCGGAGAGTGGGTCAGAACCAGGCCACACACTCCGACTCCCTCCCGGGCTGCCTGTCTTCTAGCCTCTGTGGCATCGGTCCCGTGGGGTGGGTTGCTGTGTTTGCCCAGGGTTTGCTAGCGTGGCCGGCGGTGGCAAGGGGCTGCAGGGCTTGAAAATGCTGCTCTGTCCCCTGCCCAGCCCTCCCTGAGGACAGCCCTGCCCAAGGGCCGGGTCCGGGGAGCCTGAGCCCCGCATTGCTCTGACCCCTGTTCCAATCACATATACATCGGCTCTTTGGTGCCTCCAAAGTGGGACAGGTGCCTCTTCCGGGGATTTATTCCTCAGAAGTTGCATAACAACCCATTATTTATTGAAAAAAAAAAATCCGCTGGTTTCCATGGTGACTGGGGATTGGTCCCCAGGCCAGCTGCAGCCCCTGCACCCTGTTTGCCTCGCCCACTGCCATGTAGGGGTGCCAGGCTCCCCTGCCCCGACACACTCCCAGCGCTGGTGTCCTGATCCACTTGGTGTGTGGACGCTCCCCTACACCCCTGCTGTGGCCAGATCAGCTGTGTGCTGCTGGCCTTGGTCTTCGGGTCCCTGAATCCCTGGGGTGTTTGGAAGAGGCCCCTCCCCAGGAATTGCTTCTTTGCCTGCTGTGCAGAGATGGGCGCTGCTTTAGTCCTTTGGATTTTTAAAATTAGAAAACAAAGCTGGTTGTGGTGACGCCAGGCTGTAATGCAGCACTGGAGAGGGTAGAGGCCCGAGGATTGTGATGAGTTTGAGACCAGCCTGGGATACTTAGAGAGACCTTGTCTTAAATTAAAGACCAAACCAAACAAAACCAAACAAAAAAGAAGAGAAAGTCCATGGGCAGTGGAGAGTTCTTCCTGTGTCCGGACCCTCTGACCCGAGGGGACCCCTCCCTGCAGCAGAGGCTGGAAGGACAAAGGATGCTGGGGGCTGGCCCGTGGTCCCTCTCAGCCCGGTGTCTCTTCTGTCCCTTGCGGGGGACTCTTGCCCCCCCACCAGCTGTGTGGCCTCAGGCAAGGCCCCTGCCCTGCTCCGGAGCCACTGTCCTGTGGGCACTGGTCCCGGGGTGCAGGCGACGGTGGTGCCCGTGCTCTCTGTCCCGCGAGGGGCCCTGCCTCAGCCCTCACACCACCCCGTGGCCCACTTCTCCCCACCGTCAGTTTTTTGTGTCCCAGCTTCGACAAGAAGGGGGACGTGCACTACCTGATCAAATGGAAAGACCTGCCCTACGACCAGTGCACCTGGGAGATCGACGACATCGACATTCCCTACTATGACAACCTGAAGCAGGCCTACTGGGGCCACAGGTGGGCCGTGCCACCCGGCTGCCGCGCACTGGCCAGGGGGCCCCTCCCGCCTGGCTTTGCTCACACGGGTGGCACACTCTGCCCTAGGGAGCTGATGCTGGGGGAGGACACCCGGCTGCCCAAGCGGCTCATCAAGAAGGGCAAGAAGCTGAAGGACGACAAACAAGAGAAGCCGCCGGACACTCCCATCGTGGACGTAAGTGGGGTTGCCGGGGCCCCTATGGCTTGGCATGGGGAGGGCCGGTCCTCGCACCTCCGGGCTGTGTGCTCAGAGTCACAGCCCTGCAGGACAGGGGCATGGGAAAGCCACAGCCTGACCGACAGCTGGCCTGCTAGTTACCCCATTCCCGCACGCAAGGAGAGCCTGGGATTTGACTGGCAGAGCTCTCTGGGGTATCTGCCAGTGCCTGGCACCGGGGACACAGGGTTAAAGAGTGTTAAAGAGGCCTGGGCCCTGTTTCAAGAAGTGCAGGGATGGAGTCAGCAGCTAGGGAAGGTGAGTGGGTCCCGTCCACCGAGCACAAAGCCTGGACCTGGACACATATTTGTCTTGTCATCCATTCTGGGTATTGAATGAGTGCCCCATGTCCAGGCACCGTGTGAGGCTTGGAGGAAATGGGGACCAGGGCCAATGTGGCCATGACACGCAGGGCTCAGGAGCAGAGATTCAGCAGCGTAGGGACTTCCCTGCTGGGAGGAGGCTGGGGTTGTGGCCAGGGTCTGCAGAGGAGTCAGGACGGTGGGGAGGGAGGAAGTGCGTGGCCAGGACCCTGAGCAGCTGGACCTCTGCCTCCACAGCCCACCGTCAAGTTCGACAAGCAGCCCTGGTACATCGACGCCACGGGCGGCACACTGCACCCGTACCAGCTGGAGGGCCTCAACTGGCTGCGCTTCTCCTGGGCGCAGGGCACCGACACCATCCTGGCCGATGAGATGGGCCTGGGCAAGACAGTGCAGACCATCGTGTTCCTCTACTCCCTGTACAAGGAGGTGGGGCCGGGCAGGCGTGGGAGGGAGGGAGGGGGGAGGGAGGGGCCTGACGCTGCTGCCTCTCCGCAGGGCCACTCCAAGGGGCCCTACCTGGTCAGCGCGCCCCTGTCCACCATCATCAACTGGGAGCGCGAGTTTGAGATGTGGGCGCCCGACTTCTACGTGGTCACCTACACGGGGGACAAGGAGAGCCGCTCCGTGATCCGTGAGAACGAGTTCTCCTTCGAGGACAACGCCATTCGGAGTGGGAAGAAGGTGTTCCGCATGAAGGTGACAGGCTGTGCCCTGTCCGCGGGGCCCAGGGGCCAGCAATCTGCAGGAGTCCCCTGCCCATCCCGGTCCCGGGAGGCGCGGAGGCCTGGGGAGGGGCCTTGCTGCTCGGGCTGTTGGGCCGTCTGCAGGGTACCGGCGGCCCGTAACAAGTCACAAATGGGAGCAGTGCTTTTTTCTTTCTTTTCTTTTCCTTTTTTTTGTGGGGGTGGGGGTACTGAGGATTGAACCCAGGGCCTTCACTGTGAGCTACATCCCCAGCCCTTTCTTGTTTTTGTTTCTGTTTTTTTTTCTGGTACCAGGGATTGTTACTCAGGACCTTGTGCTTGGAAGGCAGGAATGGCACCATTGAGCTAAATCCCTGGCCCACCAGCCCTTTTTTATTTTGAGACAGGGTCTTGCTCAGTCACTAAGTTGCTCAGGCTGGCCTTGAATTTGAGATCCTCCTGCCTTGGCTTCCAGCACTTTTTCCTTTTTTGAGGGGGGTACGGGGGATCGAACTCGGCACCTTGTGCTTGTGAAGCAGGTGGCAGAACCACTGAGCTAAATCCCCGGCCCACATTTTCCTTTCTTGACCTGGCATGATCAGGTGTAGCTATTTAGGGTCACATTCTCTGAGCCTTGGACTCACCGGGTGAGTGCAGTCCTCAGGTACCTGGACCCTGCCTGCAGTTGGTCATAGAGTGTAGACTTGATCCCTCCCACCAGCACCCAGGTTCAGGCAGAGAGGTCGCTGGGCAGGGCTGGGGGCCGGGAGGCTGAGAACCTGTCCTGGGGTCACAGGACCTCAGTGAGTGCACACGTCACCACCCACAGGACTTTTCGTGCAGACTCAACACGGAAATGCGTTAGAATTTCAAATCAGTAATGCAAAAAAAGCATTACGATCCCAGAGAGTTCTGCAGCCCGAGGTCTGTGGGCTTTAGCGGGGAATGGGGGAGCACCTCACGGGGCCCCTGAGGACTCCAGCTTACTGCAGAGCAGCCGCCTGGGTGCCCTTTCGCAGACTCCGAAATCCTCCTCCGACCCTTGCTATCGGTGGTGTAGGACTAGCGCGTAACCTACCCTCGTCCTCCCATCTCTCTGGCATCTCTGACTTACAAGCCCGCACATTTACTGTGAGTGCAGTTTTGTTTCAAGCATTTCCCGTCTGAGGCCCACTGCGTCTGTGGGTGGGGAACATGCATGTACCGAGGGCTGTTTGTTTTTCCTTGTTGGCAACACCACTCTCTCTACGTACTGTGCTCTGGGCCTCAGCTGACCCCTCTGCCTGGTGGTCAGTGTCTCCTCCCTCTGTCTCTGGGGCTCTTTCCAGTCTTTGTGAGGTTCCTGTCTACGCTTCCTTTTTTTATTTTTTGGTTTTTGCGACAGGGTCTCTCTATGTAGTTCAGGCTGGCCTTGAACTCATGGCAGTCCTCCTGCTGCAGCTTCCCAACAGCTGGGATTACACCCACCCGGCTCTACACTTCCCGAGACTTGTGTCCGCTCTGCCCCCAGCTGGACCCTCCTCGATTCTCTTTCCTTCCAGAAAGAAGTGCAGATCAAGTTCCACGTCCTGCTCACCTCGTACGAGCTCATCACCATCGACCAGGCCATCCTGGGCTCCATCGAGTGGGCCTGCCTCGTGGTGGACGAGGCCCACCGGCTTAAGAACAACCAGTCCAAGGTGGCTGGCAGTGGCTGTGGGGCTCGGGCCGCCCTGGATGGGGGTGACCCTGCACCCCCTGACTGGCCCCCTCTGTTCCCTGAAGTTCTTCAGGGTCCTGAACAGCTACAAGATCGACTACAAGCTGCTGCTGACGGGGACCCCCCTTCAGAACAACCTGGAGGAGCTCTTCCACCTACTCAACTTCCTGACACCGGAGCGGTTCAAGTGCGTTGTACCCTGGGCCTGGCAGGAGGGGTGGGCGGGCTAGCGGCCCTGCCAAAGGCATTTGCCCTGGAAGCAGGAAGCCAGGGCCCAGGGGGTGGGGTGGGGGGCAACATGGACCCCATTTCTCATCCTCCTCCTGTCCCCTACCCCTGTTTTCCTGCCGACTTCGGATTTAGAGAGCAGGCTGCGGCTCTGGTGGACCACCTAGCCTGGGGCCCTGGGGCCTCAGTTTCCCCATCTGTAATCTGCTAGTAGCCCTGGAAAGCTCTTCTCCTGGATGGCTTGCAGGGTGGCACAGAGAGAGGGCTGGGACACGTGGGGTGACACAGCCTTAGAAGGAGACTCGGGGCTGTGCTGAGTTCCTGGCCCCTCGCCCTGTCTTCCCCACGCCAATCCTGCTGCCCTCTGTGGAGGGCTCTGGCCTGTGCCCTGGCCTCTGCCCTGGTGCTTAGCCTACTCTTCCTCGCAGCAACCTGGAGGGCTTCCTGGAGGAGTTTGCGGACATCTCCAAGGAGGACCAGATCAAGAAGCTGCACGACCTGCTGGGGCCACACATGCTGCGGCGGCTCAAGGCGGACGTGTTCAAGAACATGCCGGCCAAGACTGAGCTCATTGTGCGTGTGGAGCTGAGCCAGATGCAGAAGTGAGCGGCGAGGCTGAGCGCCCCAGCAGCTGCTTCCTGTTTCCCGGCCTCCATGGCCCCAGCCTGCCCTTCCTGGGCCGCTTCCTGGGGTGGGCGGGAGGGTGCTTCTGCCCCCACCTTGGCTCACGTGTGGCAACCCCTTCCTTCTTGGGGCTTCTTCTCAGTGCTGAGCTCTAGCAGTGTCGCCAGGTAACCTGCTGGGTGACTCTGGGGCTGTGGCTTCACCTCTGGGGGCGCCCTAGGGGCTCTGGAAGTGGCGCCTGGCCATGGCGAGTGCCCCTCGAAGGCTGGGCAGGCCCAGGGTGTCCAGCCCGCCTTGCCTGTGTCCGTGCAGGAAGTACTACAAGTTTATCCTCACTCGCAACTTCGAGGCGCTGAACTCCAAGGGGGGTGGGAACCAGGTGTCGCTGCTGAACATCATGATGGACCTGAAGAAGTGCTGCAACCACCCCTACCTCTTCCCCGTGGCCGCTGTGGTAGGTTCCCCATGGCCACTAGAGCAGCTTCCCTCAGGCCACTGCAGGGGGTCCTCTGGCTGCTGTCCCAGGGCCCTCGTGGCCATCCGTCCTGTGCTTGGCCGGGGCCTCTCCTCCCTGTGTCCCCTCCCCCGATCCATAAAAAGGGGCACCGAGTCGCCCTGAAGCCCCTCCGGCGTCCACACTGGGACCCCGGGGCTGGCCACACTCCTCCCCTCCAGTGAGTGTGGGGTCCCAACACCTGGCCCTGCTGCTGTGACCGCGGTAAAGTGAACGGCCCTCTCTGAGCCTCGCATCTCCCTCTAACGTGGGGCCAGCAGCAGCTGCGGGGAGGCGGTGGTGAAGGCGCAGGGATGGAGTCCACATGAAGGGTGCTTATAGAAAGCTCAGCCTGGGGCTTCTCAGGGCCCATTGGTCATCACCACTGCCAGGTCCCTGCTGTCTGGGTTCCGATTGAAGCCCTTAAGAGTTTTCCCTCCTCTAGCACCAGAGCCAAGCAGGGGAGCTGTGCTGGGGTACATGGCTTAGGGAGCCCCCAGATCCTTCTGGTACTGGTGTGGCAGTGGGTGTCCCTGGAGTTTAACCTTCTGACGGGGTGTCGCCTTGTCGACCCTCTGACTCGGATGGACCCTTCAGTGACTGCTGGGGGCAGAAGGGCAGCTTGGCTTCATTGTGTTTGTTCCCTGACATCTCAGCCAGGGAGCAGGGCCCAGGGCAGAGATGGCAGTCTGTTCCTGCCTGCGAACACAGTGCCTGCAGCCACAGCCCGTGTGACCCATGGCTTGTTCTAGGCCATTGGCCCTGGCCAGGCCTGCCCATCCCCTGCAGCCCCTTTGGTGCCCGGCTGGAGGAGAGCCCCCCAAGGCCCCTCTCTGCTGCTCCGCAGGAGGCCCCTGTCCTGCCCAACGGCTCCTACGATGGCAGCTCCCTGGTCAAGTCCTCAGGGAAACTCATGTTGCTGCAGAAGATGCTGAAGAAACTGCGGGATGAGGGGCACCGCGTGCTCATCTTCTCCCAGGTGGGCCAGAGCTCCTGCTCTGGAGGCCAAGGGCCCAGCCTTGCCAATGCCCCCTCCGGTCGCGATGCCATCCCCCGGGGGTTAGGTGTCAAGGGTCAGTCCCTGTGCCCTGGTGTGATGCAGCCGTGGCAGCATTGCCTTCTGCTCAGTCAGAGGCTCCACCGTCCAGCCTCAGGTTTGTCTGTTTCTTCCTCCATCCCTTCGTCTGCATCTGTCACACATCAGGGTTGCAGAGGATGCATTCCCCCCTCAAGCTTCTCAGTCTAGAGTGGCAGACAACTCAGGAGCCAGCTGCCCATCTCTGGTAGCTGTGTTGGAGGTCATGGTGATGGACCTGTGGGATTCGGAGGCTAACAATGCTCGCCTATGTCAGAGCCAGATGCACGGCTCAAAGCACAATCTGGAACTCAGCTCCTCTGTGTTCAAAAGTCAAGTGGAAACAGCTACTGTGCCTGCAGCCCCTCATGCACCCAGGGTGGGTGGTGGGCTGCAGGGTCCCAGGAAAGCAGGCCAGGCCTATGACAGTGGGTGGCTGGGAGACAGATTCACAATCCCTCAACACTCCTGCCAGTGTAAGACGCAAGTCTGGTCAGAGACCTGGAGAGACCAAGTGGAAGAAACTGCACAAGTGCTAGACGTGTGCAGAAGGCACACGATAGGCAGAGCCCTCCCGTTCAGAATGAGCTGACAAACCCCAACTCTCCAACCTGTCACAAAACTGGATGCTAAGGCATCCCATAAAACAATAGCTGGAATCCAAAAGAAAACTACAGTATGATAGCCTGAAAAAGACTTTGGATAGACATGCTTAGGGTCCTCAGAAATAAGGGTCCTCATAGCAAACAGCCATGAAGGAAGAAGAAATTAATTAGGCAAAAGCAGGAGGTAAAGAATCAGCACATAAGTCTGCAGTTAGTCATTGAAATAAAACATTTCACCAGCGGATAAACTCTCAGCAACATTGAAGAGACACCGAGGGATTGGAACACAGTGCTGAGAAGTTTCCCAGGATGCAATGCAGAGGGACAAAGATGAAATCAGAGCATGGAAGGTGTCTTGGAAGGTCCCAACAGTCATCTGATAGGAGTTTCAGGAGAAAAACAGGAAATGTGCAAAGCAGGATTTGACAGGTTTGTGGACTTGGAGAAAAACACGAGGTCTCAGATCTGGAGTGCACTGTGGAGCACCAAGCAAGGTCAATATTGATAAACCAACCTGTAGGCACCTTGCAGGGGAGGTGCAGCACTTTAGACCTGGAAGCTACACAGGAAGGAGGATTAGACCGTCCTCAGGCTTCTCATCACAACAAGCAGTAGATGCCATGGCAGCATCTCTGTGCACTGAGGGGAACCAGCAGATGACAGTTTTATACCCAGCTAAGCCATCCCAAGACCACTGGAGAATAGACATGGTTATGGGAGGTCAGAAGGGGCTGCTTTCCTTTTCTCCAGGGGGAGTGGTGGCAGGGAGACATCATAGAGGAGCTGATGCTTGAGTTCTCTGGGCAGTAAGGGGGTGGGTGTTCCAAGGAGAGAATCAGATGACTGGGAAGGGCTGGAAGGAGGAAGGGAGCATCAGATTGCAGGGAGGCCTGAGTGCAGGTGAGGAGCAGGGACTTGTTCGTGGAGGCTGAGGAGGTGGAAGGTGGATGGGCTGGCCAGTGTGAGGTTGGAGGCCACATTCTCCACTGAGTCCTGCTGCAGCCCTGCCTGGGTTCCTCTTATCTCTCCAGTCTGGGCTACTCTCTCCTCCCCAACCTGCAGTGGGGTCCCTGTCCGTGTCCCATGGGGCCCCTGGCTCCATGGCACTCCTCACAGATCCCTTTCCTCTGCAGATGACCAAGATGCTGGACCTTCTGGAGGACTTCCTGGAGTATGAGGGTTATAAGTATGAGCGGATTGACGGTGGCATCACTGGGGGTCTCCGGCAGGAGGCGATCGACAGATTCAACGGTATCTCACTGCCTGAGGGGCCTCATGGGGACCCACCTGAGAGTCCCTGAGCTGGTTACAGTGGTGTCCCTTAGCTTTAAATGCTGAAAGGATTCACTCCGAGGGACCTCAGTGGTCTATTGGGGTTCTAGGAGGCCCAGCAAGTAAGACTGCTCTGAACAGAATTAGAAGTGGACAGGAAGGCAGGCAGGTCGGGGAGGGAAATGTCACCTTTGTCACCCGGTGAAGCCGGTCCCAAGGGTCTGGGTTACACCAGATAAACCAGTGACAGTGGCACTGGGCAGGGGCATCCTCCCACTGCACCAAGGCTCAGGGAACCTTTGGGGCTGCACAGGCTCACATGGGCTGGCTCCTGGCCTCCCCGGGCATGGGGGTGGCCACCCATCTGCGATGGGGTTGCGGAACTGTCCTCTGCCAGGGACCTGTCGCTGCAGTCCCCATCCTGCCATCTCCCCTCCTGTGCTCCTGTCTGTCACCCACCAGCCCCTGCCCCCACTGTCCCACCTCACCTGCTGGCCTCTCTCCCCAGCCCCTGGGGCCCAGCAGTTCTGCTTCCTCCTCTCCACCCGTGCGGGTGGCCTGGGCATCAACCTGGCCACAGCAGACACAGTCATCATCTACGACTCGGACTGGAACCCGCACAATGATATCCAGGTCAGCGGCCCGCTCCGTGCCCCATCCTCATACCCTCCGGCTGGGGCTCCTCTTGTTCTGTTGGGGCCCGAGGAGGTGAGCTCTCTCCTTGTAGAGGAGGAAACAGACCTGGAGAGGGAAGGGGAGGTGTCTGAGGCGCACGGCCATCTGTGGCCGCTGACCCGGGTCCGTCCATCGCTTCAGGACCAAGGTCACACTGGGGGGACGAGGAGCACAGCTGGTGGGGGGGCTGGTGGAGGTGGGGAGCGGAGGCGATGGAGGAGGGGCAGTAGGGGCTGACAGGGAGGGAGGGGCAAGGGCTGGGGCTGGGGACTGAGCCACCAGATGTCCCTTGGCCTCTCTGCTCTGGAGCAGGGACACACACACCTGACACTTTGGAGCACACACTTGTGTCTCGTGTCCCCGCCCCATGGCACCCAGCCCTGAGCCCAGAGCCCTTGGTCGTCTTCCCCAGGCCTTCAGCCGTGCCCACCGCATCGGGCAGAACAAGAAGGTGATGATCTACCGCTTCGTGACACGGGCCTCGGTGGAGGAGCGCATCACGCAGGTGGCCAAGCGCAAGATGATGCTGACCCACCTGGTGGTGCGGCCCGGCCTCGGCTCCAAGTCGGGCTCCATGACCAAACAGGAGCTGGACGACATCCTCAAGTTCGGCACCGAGGAGCTGTTCAAGGACGACGTGGAGGGTGGGCGCCTGGGAGCCCCGCCAGGGTGCCCCAGCCAGGGCCCGGGTCCCTGCCTGCCCCACTTGGGGGCCACTCTCCTGTTCCAGCCAGTGGGCCAGGCGGGAGGTTTGCCTGCTCCCGCCACCCCTGTGCCCCCCTGTGCCCTGTGCCAGCTCACTCCTCCTCTGCCTCCAGGCATGATGTCCCAGGGCCAGAGGCCGGCCACGCCCATCCCCGATGTGCAGTCCTCCAAGGGTGGCACCCTGGCGGCCGGCCTGAAGAAGAAGCACGGTAGCACGCCTCCAGGTAGGGGCTGCTCCTGGAGAGGAAGGGGCTCCCAGCGCCCCCACTCGGTGTGCTGAACCCACGTCTGGTTGCCATGCTCCTCAGGCCTAGCCCCAGAGGGACCAGGAAGGGCCACTGTGGGAGTGGGGTTGGGTACTCTGTCTGTGTCCCCATGGCGGACTCCGCCCCCAGGCGACAACAAGGACGTGGAGGACAGCAGCGTGATCCACTATGATGATGCAGCCATCTCTAAGCTGCTGGACCGGAACCAGGACGCTACGGACGACACGGAGCTACAGAACATGAACGAGTACCTGAGCTCCTTCAAGGTGGCGCAGTACGTGGTTCGCGAGGAGGACGGCGTGGTAAGGGTCCCAGAGTGTGTGTGGGGGGCCCCGCCCTCCGCCCATGGCCCCGCCCTCCGCCCACGCCCCCAGGCGGCCCCGCCCTCCGCCCGTGGCCCCGCCCCTCACGCCAGAACCCCGCCCTCAGGTTGAGAGGCACCAGAGGACTTGGAACCACACGGCCCTCCAAGGCCCTTGGGGACATCTGCTGTGGCCTCCTCCCTGGGCTCCAGGTTTCTCACTCCACCTCTGAAATGCCAGGCCCTGGGGCCCGGTTTCAGGCCCTTCGCAGCTGGTCCCACGCACCCCATCCGGCCGCTTCAGGCCACCTTCTTGAGGGCTGGACCACTCCTGTCCCAGAGTACACGCACGCTGCTGCCCGCCGCGTCTTCTTCCTCTCCACCCTGCTGCCAGCCCCGATTTCTTGACAAGGGCTCCTTCTGCCTCCTGCAGTTCCTCCTCTTGCTCTCAGACCCTGAGTGCCAGCCACCTCTCCCTTTGGGTCAGGAGCCCCCTGAGGGCAGAACCAGGCCTCGTTCAGGGCTGCACCCCCAGGCTGGCACAGGCCAGGGGCTGCTGGAGGAGGGCAGGGAGGAGAGACAGCGCAGGGGTGGGGTGAGGAAGGGCGCCTGCAGTGGCCAGGACTTCCAGCTGCTCCTGGAGCCTGGGAGGGTGGCAGAGCTGGCAGGAGGCTGCCCAGAGCCAGGGGTGCCCGGCAGGGCTGCCTCACTAACTCCAGCGCCCACGGTGTCCCCAGGAGGAGGTGGAGCGGGAGGTGATCAAGCAGGAGGAGAACGTGGACCCTGACTACTGGGAGAAGCTGCTGCGCCACCACTACGAGCAGCAGCAGGAGGACCTGGCCCGGAACCTGGGCAAGGGCAAGCGCATCCGGAAGCAGGTCAACTACAACGACGCCTCCCAGGAGGACCAAGGTGTGTGCCGGGGGTGGGCGAGGCTCTGGGCAAGGGCACCTGGGCCAGGCTGGGGAGGTGGCAGAAGGAGATAGACAGGCGACTGTGCTGGCCCCCGCAGAGTGGCAGGATGAGCTCTCGGACAACCAGTCTGAGTATTCCATTGGCTCTGAGGACGAGGACGAGGACTTCGAGGAGCGGCCAGAGGGCCAGAGTGAGTGTCAGTGCCACCACTGCACCAGGTGTCGGGAGCTGGTGGTGGCCGGGTGGGGCTGGGCTGGGATCCCTGCTGGGGTCCCTGCTGACCAGGAACGGGGTAGCGGGAGGCTGGGGAGCCCGGGGCCTCACCTGAGCATGTGTGCTGGGCTGCTCCCCAGGTGGACGGCGACAGTCCAGGAGGCAGCTCAAGAGTGACAGGGACAAGCCCCTGCCACCTCTCCTTGCTCGAGTCGGTGGCAACATCGAGGTGGGGCCCGCCTGCACCCCATCTCTCCCAGCCCCTCTTCCTGCCACCCCTGGGGGAGGGAAGAAGGGCTGGGGGTGCCCAGGGCCACTTGCCAAGTAGAGATGAGGCTGGGATGGGCACTCATGTCTGCAGGTTCCCCCCTTCCTCCTGCCCCCCCAAGTTCTCTGTGCCCGGCCTGTTCCTGACCGGGGCCCACCTGCCCCTGCCGCCTGCCCAGGTGCTGGGCTTCAATGCGCGGCAGCGGAAGGCCTTCCTGAACGCCATCATGCGCTGGGGCATGCCGCCCCAGGATGCCTTCAACTCCCACTGGCTTGTGCGGGACCTGCGCGGGAAGAGTGAGAAGGAGTTCAGGTATAGGGCCGAGGTGGCTGGGTGTGGCCCCTGCCCCATGGGTGGCTCCCGCTGCGGGGGCCTCCCGGTGAGTGCCACGGCCAGGGCCATTGTCAGAAAACCTGGGCCGGCTCTCTGCCCAGAGCAGCTGGCATGGATGACGGCTGTCCTGGGGGTGCCCTGCCCGGAGCCCCTCTTGTAGTGGCTGGTTGGGAGGTGGGTGGTTCCGGCCGAGAGGTCCCAGGGGTCCTGTTGGCCCCCACCCCAGAGCCTATGTGTCCCTCTTCATGCGACACCTGTGCGAACCTGGGGCCGATGGCGCCGAGACCTTCGCGGACGGTGTGCCGAGGGAGGGGCTGTCTCGGCAGCACGTGCTCACGCGCATCGGGGTCATGTCGCTGGTTAGGAAGAAGGTGGGTGAGTGGGCCTCAGGTCACGCGGGTCCTGGCACTGCCTGGGGGTCAGCGGTCGGAGGCCCAGTGGCTGGCTCAGGACACGGCTGCTCAGGGTCCAACCTGGAGTGAGGGACGGGGAAGTCAAGGCCAGGACGGCAGGCCACGGGGCAAGGAGGGTGTGGGAACTGGCAGGGGAGTCTGGCCAGGAGTGTCTTGGTCAGCCTTGGGCAGAGATGTCCCCTCGCCTGGCCCTTGGCCTTCAGGGCTGAGCCTCAAGCACCCCTGTGCCTGCCTCCCCAGGTTCAAGAGTTTGAACACGTCAATGGGAAGTACAGCACCCCGGACCTGGTCCCCGAGGGGCCCGAGGGCAAGAAGCCGGGCGAGGTCATCTCAGACCCCAACACACCTGTGCCTGCCAGCCCTGCCCACCTGCCACCTGCCCCACTGGGCCTGTCAGGTCTGGGTTCAGAGGGGGGGGCACTGGCTCACAGGAGGGGTGGGGTCATGGTAACCCTGAGTGCAAGGGCAGTATCCCAGTGGGCGTGGTGGTGCGCACTTGTAATCCCAGCACTCTGGGAGGCTGAGGGAGGAGGATCCCAAGTTTGAGTTTAGCCGGGGTAATTTAGACTCAATGAGACCCTGTCTCAAAAATAACAAAGGGGCTGGGTATGGAGCTCAGTGTGAAGGCCCTGGGTTCAGTCCTCAGTGCCAGAAACCAAACCAAACCAGCCAAACCCAGCCTCCCCAGTGGAAGTGTCCACCTGCAGAAGTGTCTGTCGTAGCGATTTTCTTTTTAATAATGGTGTTGGGATTTGGTTCTGTACATACAACACAATTCCCTCTTTTAAACTGTCTTAGTCACTTTTCTCATTTCTGGGACAAAATAGCCGACACCCACAAGTTAAGAGAGGAGGGGTTTATGTAGCTCACAGTGTGTAGAGGTTTCGGTCCATAATCGGCTGCTCTAAGGCAGGGCGGCATCTCTGAGGAGAACCAGTTCATGGTGGGCAGAAGGCAGCAAAGCAACAAGAAGCCACCATGGCTTTCTATCCCTTCTATCTTATCCAGGCTGCTTAGGAAGGGCAGCACTCACAACCTTTTGTTTTTTTGAGACAGGGTCTTGCTATGTAGTTCAGGCTGGCCTTGAACTCACTATGTAGCCCTAGCTGGCCTTAAACTCTTTTTTTTTTTTTTTTTGGTGCTGGGGATCGAACTTGGGACCTTGCGCTTGCAAGGCAGGCACCACTGAGCTAAATCCCCAGCCCCCTAGCCTTGAACTCTTGGTGATCTCCTGCCTCAGTCTCCTGAATGCAGGGATTATGGGAGTGTGCCACCATGCCCGCCTTGTGTATGAGTTCTTCATTCCTCCTGTGACTGGATGACATTTCACCAATGGTGGACATGCAGGATGTTTCTACTAGAGATGTGCAGGATGCTGCAGTGAGCCTCTGTCTCATTTCTGTGCGGTTCAGGTTCCTGTTTCTCTGGGGCGCACACCTGGGAGTGGATTGCTGGTCACAGGGCAGCTCTGGGACCCTTCCAGGGACTGCAGACCTTGTGTTCTCCTGCCAGGAGTGTGTGAGGCTCTAATCCCTCTGCCTCAGCAGGCTGGTGCCTTCGCGATGCCAGCCACCCTGGCGGCTGAAGGGCCAGCTCTCTGCGGTTGTGGTTTGCATTTTCCTGATGGTGGGGGGGATCGGAGCATCTGTCTGTTCATGTGCTTCTGAGCTATTTTTATATCTGTTTGAAGATGCGTCTTTGCAGATCCATTGCCCATTTGTATTTTATTTTGTTTTTGTGGTATTGGAGATTGAACCCAGGGCTTTTGCACTGAGCTCCATCCCCAAGCCCTCCCCACTTGTTTTTGGTACCAGGATCAAACTCAGGACCTTGCACTTGCCAGGCAGGTGTGGTGCCACTGAGCTAAATCCCCAGCATCCCAGTCCGCCTTTTAGTTTTAAAGTGTGGGACAGGGTTTTGCTAGTTGGCTTCTCCTGACTCAGCCTCCCCGAGTGCTGGGATTATAGGTGTGCACTATGATGGCAAGCTTTTGCCCAGTTTTACCTATTTGTCTCCAAGTGTTTTTCTGGTGATTGTGTATTTATTTGGCCAAAGACTCAGGCAGATGGAAAGCTGGGCCAGACTCAGCACTGGGCTCCAGTCTGGACCCCGTCTCCCACTTCCCTCCTTCCCCGCACAGCCACAGCTGTGTGCTGACAGCTCTTGCTTTGCCCTGCTGCACCACGGGCCCCTGGGGCAGAGGCCTGGCCTGGGCTCTCTGGATCAACCGGGGCCTGTCCTCCCCTCCTACTGGGCCCATCTCACCTCTTTCCCATCATCTTTCAGACAAAGTGGATGCCCCACTGGGCTACGGAGATGAGAAGGAGCCAGGGCTGCAGAAGCCAAAGAAACCCCTGGAAATCCAGGTACGGGACTCACCGGGCCTGGACCGTGGTGGGTGTGGGGCGGAGGCTGGATCCTCGCCCCTTCTCAGGCCTTGCTGGCCTGTTTGAGACTGGCGTCTGGGCATCCAGTTTGGGCCCTGGGTCTGCGGCTGCAGCAGGTGATGCAGTTGGGCTCACAGGCTCCCACCCGGTCCCCGCCCTCCCTGGGTGTCTACGGAGGCCCCAGGCCCTGAAGCCCCCAGTGTGCCCCTTCTAGGTCCTGCCAGCTGCCCTGGACAGAGTGGAGGGGGAGGACAAGCAGGAGAGCTTAGACAGCAAGGACAGAGCCCGAGACGAGCGGCCGGAGGAGATGGAGAAGGCACAGGCCTCCCCGGAGCAGCTACCCAAAGGTAGAGGTGGGGCGGGACTGACGTGCTGACCCCCTTGCTCACCACGTGCAGCCTCTGGCCTCAGCCTTGCTCAGGCGTTGCTCTGTCCTGGCGTGCAGGCCCTCGGGCCTCGGTTCTCTCCACGTGGGAATCAGCTTGTGCTGCATAAAGAGACTGGACTCCCTGGGCTGTTTTGACGAGTGATTTCTAACTCTGGTTTGAAAATGTGGGTGTGTTTGGTGTGTCGAAAGCTGCTTTCTGGCTCAGTGGAGTCTGATTCTGTAAATGTTTTCTGTGTGCTTTCGAAGGGTGTCTGTTCTGCGATTGCCGGGTGGAGGGTTCTAAGTCCATGCATCAGAGTGTTAGATAAGGCTCATTAGTATTTTTACCACCAGTTTGCTTTGGAGCTCACTTTCTGAGGTACTGCTTTACACTCTCCTCCAGTGATTGTGGACTTAATCTCTCCTCCTTGCAATGCCAGATTTCATCTCTTCTCATTGGAGGCTGGGTTGTTAGGTGCATATTTGTTCAAGTTTTTAATATTTTTCTGGTGAAGTACGGCTCTAATTATTCTGTAATTATTATCATTTGTTGTGATACATTTTGCCTTAGGGTTTATTTTGACCAATTTAGTTTGATCTAACTTTATCTTTGAGCTAAGAATTTTAATCCTTTACATTTATTGTAATAGCTAGACCTTCAACCCTGCTTTACCCTTGTACCTTGTCAAGGTTAGCAGAGGTGAGGCTGAGGAGCCTTCCACATCTTTTGCTGTGTCTTTTACATGACTGTGTAACACATTCCTGCAAGCTTGGGTTCTGTGCCCACTGTCTCGAGAGACTGAGGTCAAGTTAGCAGCTCGGCTAAGTTCTCACATGCAGGCTCTGGGGAAGAATCACTTACGAGCTCCTTGTCATGGCTGAGCTGAGTTGCTCGAGGTTGGAGAGCTGAGGTCCTGGCTCCTTGCTGGCCTCAGCTGGTGGCCCATGTTCCTCCCTCCATCCTCAAGCCAGCGAGAGTCACGGAGATGCTGTTCTTCCTGGAGTCCCCAATTTCCTTTTTTGCAAGCATCCAGAGAAAACTCTGGCTTTCTAAAGACTCGTGTGGTTGTCAGGTCTGCTTAGGTGGCTTCCCTGTTCTAAGGTCACTGCGCCATATGACACAGCAAGGCCACAGGAGAACGATTATCGCATTCACAGTCCTGGGTTCACACAGGGTGTGGGCGCCAGGGGAGGGGAAGTCTTCGAGGATATTGTAGAATTCTGCAATTAACTTGTTTACAGTGGTGTCTTTTATTTCTAGACATTTCATCCAGCTTTTCCCATTTTTTTCTTATTCTTTTCCCTATGGGTTCTATTCCCTTTTCTTTTTCTTTCTTTTTTTTTTTTTGAGGCAGAATCTCACCATGCAGTCCAGGCTGGCCTTGAATTCACTATGTAGCCCAGGCTGTCCTTGAACTCCTGGCAATCCTCTTGCCTCAGCCTCCTGAGTGCTGGGGATTACAGGCATGGACCACCACACCTGGCTGGAGACATACTTTAGCTTCTAACTGACCTTGTTTTACCATCTCCAGACACTTGTCTGAGGTCTTGGGTCTGCTGGGGGTTGCTCAAGGTGGACAGCTGTTGGTGTGGTAGGTTAGGGTGGCCTCCTCTTTGTCAGGGCCTTTTTTTTTTTTTTTTTGACACAGGGATTGAACTCAGGACCTTATGCTTGCCAGGCAGGCACAGTGCCACTGAGCTACATCCCGGCCCTTAATTATATATTTTTGTAGTAATGGGGATGGAACCCAGGGCTTTGCACATGCTAGAGATCGTGCCCAGCGTTCTGGGCGTTGGGATGGAGGCATGGGCATACAGGCTCACCTGGTAATGGGTGCAGGGGGCCTGGTGAGGAGCTGGTGGCACAGGCCTGTGTGTCGGGGGGATGCACCTGTTGGGCCCCGAGCGACCCTGGTGTCTTACAGAGGAGGCGCCCCTCGAGAAGGAGAAGGCCCCAGACAAGCTGGACCTCAGGCTCAGCCACAGCAGAGCGGACAGTGGGGACTTCAGGCCAGGTGTGGGGCTCGTCCCTTGGCCTCTTTGGGGTGCCACCGGGGTCCTGGTCAGCTTCTGGGCACCATCTCCAGGCCCCGGGCCCGGATCGGAGATGGCGGAGGGTGTCTGGGGCACAGATGGCACCGAGAGAGGGGTGAGTGAGGTGGCCTGCAGGATTTGGGGCTCCCTTCTGTGGGCCTCTAGGACGCCACCCTTGGGCCAGCTCACTGGATAGCGCAGGCTGGCCTCAGACTTGTGGCGATCCTCCTGCCTCAGCCGCCTCCTCCTCAGCTCTCTGAACTGGTGCTGTGCCTTCTCGGTGGTCTCCTGCCCCATCCCCGGGTGGGCCGGGGACCAGCCTCCCTGTGTGGGACAGGGGCTACAGCTCATTCCTTCCAAGTCCGTGGCCCTGACTCCTTAAGGACAGGGGTGGACTCTTCCCGGTGGAGGGTGAGTGTGACCTGTGCCCCCATAGATGACACCAAGGCGGACGAGAAGGAGGCCATCGAGATGCAGCAGAATGGTGACAGAGAGGAAGACGAGGAGGGCAAGAAGGACGACAAGAATGGGAGATTCAAATTCATGTTCAACATTGCGGACGGTGGCTTCACAGGCACGGAGCCCCGGGAGTGGCCAGATGGCCAGCTTACCCTGGAGGGTGGCTGGTTGATAAAAGGCTGCTAAGCAACCCTTCCCAGCAGCACCTGAGCCAGAGCCTGGCGTTGGGGGGAGATGGCCAGTGTGCCGGGAGTGCTCGGCTCCTTGGGAGAGCGGGTGGGGCCTCGCCTCCTGCTCACTCTGGCTCTCTCCCCAGAGCTGCACACGCTATGGCAGAACGAGGAGCGGGCTGCAGTGTCCTCGGGAAAAATCTATGACATCTGGCACCGGCGCCATGACTACTGGCTGCTGGCTGGCATCGTGACGTATCCTTGGTCGGCCAGGCTGGGTGGCACTGGGGGCCCCTGCCTCACTTTCTCCTGGCTCCCGGTGGGTCCCTGGGCCCACCCGTCACTCACTTGGCCTCCGTTGTCACCAGGCCTTCTCTGTGTCTGTGTCCAAAATTCCCCCTTCCAGCAGGGAGTGGTGCCCCGCACCTGTAATCTCAGCACTTGGGAGGCTGAGGCAGGAGGATCACCATGGGTTCGAGGCCAGCTTGGGCTACATAGTGAGTCCCTGCTGCAAAAAATAAAAAAATTTCACTCTTCTTACCTGGACTCGGTTGTTGGACCTAGAAGCCCTGATCACGACTGAGGCCATGTTCACAGGCCCAGGTTGGGATTGGATGTTGTCTCAGTGACTTTTCCCATGGCTGAGACACAGTATGTGACACCCACAGTTGAAGGTTGAAGAGCTTTACTTTGGCTCACAGCTGTAGCAGTTCAGTCCATGGTCTGCTGGCTCCAAGGCAGGGCCCTGTGGCAGAGGAGCCTAGAGGAGGAAAAGCTGCTCACAGCATGGTGGGCAGGAAGCAGAGGGAAGGGAGGAGCTGGGAGGGAGATGGACCCTTCCAGGCCACGTCCCAGTGACCACCCCTTCTGACCAGACCCCGCCTCTTACAGCAGCCTGCTGTGTCTCTGGTCTCCTCACCTTCCACAGCCCTGCCTGTGAGTGCGTGAAGCTCTCGGGGCCTCTAGACCTAAACCATAACGGACATGTCCACGGGTTGTTGGGGCAGGGAGTTAACCCCAGGAGCCTCCCTGCCACACCTGGTTCACCAGGGACGGCTGTCCATGCCCACTGACCTTGTCACCACGGTCATCGTGAGCAGGCACATACGCAGGGAGGCCCGGGCCCACTTCCTGTGCTGGCTTTGCCTTGACGGTGGCCTGCAGGCACGGCTATGCCCGCTGGCAGGACATCCAGAACGACCCCAGGTATCTGATCCTCAATGAGCCCTTCAAGTCTGAGATCCACAAGGGCAACTACCTGGAGATGAAGAACAAGTTCCTGGCCCGCAGGTTCAAGGTCAGGCTCTGCAGGGCTAGGAGCCGGGGAGGGGTTGAGGGATTCAGGGACTAGGGACCAAGGGGGCCCCTCGGACAGGGATGTTGGGCAGCAGCGTCCCTCCCATATCCCTCCACCTGGGCCAGGCTGCTCACAGGGGGTCTGACAGTCAGCAGAGTGATGGGGTCCTTGCTCTGGGCCAAGCCCCACTGTGCAAGTGTCCCCCACACTGGGGTGACATGGGGTACAGGAAGCCCAGCTTGATGAAAGCTCCAGGGTGTGGCCAGGTTGGGTGAGGATGGAAGGTGGGTGGCAGTATGGCTCGCTCCCTCTTTTTCCCTGGTCCTTGGGCGGGTGCTGGGGGATAGTGGCCATCCAGAGGGGCCACCCTAATGCCTGTCACCCCCCAGCTGCTGGAGCAGGCCCTGGTCATTGAGGAGCAGCTGCGGAGGGCCGCGTACCTCAACATGACCCAGGACCCCAACCACCCGGCCATGGCCCTCAATGCCCGCCTGGCTGAGGTGGAATGCCTGGCTGAGAGCCACCAGCACCTGTCCAAGGAGTCCCTGGCCGGGAACAAGCCGGCCAACGCCGTGCTGCACAAGGGTGAGCCACTGTGCCGGGGCTGAGGACAGAACACCAGCCTGGAGGTGTGGCTCGCTCCGGGGTGGACTGGGACAGTGCCATTGTCTAGCCGCTCCTTCTCTGGGTGGGATGCAGTGGGATACTCCTGTCCTGAATCCTTGCCATTCCCTCAGGGAGTCTCCCTAGTGCCCCTGTAGTAAAGGTGAGGACCTTTGACACTCGCTCCAGAACTCTGTAGTCCTTGGGGTCCCCTCTCTCCCTAGCCAGCTCCCAGGTAGGTGGCAGGGTGCCCAGAGCTGAGGGGTCTGCCAGGCCCTTCATCACCCTGGACTTGCCGACCCGCGCCCCATCCTGGGCCCCATCCTGCTCCAGCTGGCCCACGGTTCTGGGTTGGGTCAGGGTTCTGGCTTTCTGCTGTGCCGGAAGTATGGGCCCCTGGAGAAGTTCTTCGGAAACCCCCACCGTTCCCCAGTTGGCAACTCTGAGCTGCCCGGGTCCTTGGAAGGCCTGAGGAGCAGCGCCCCCTGGTGTCTGCTGCTGGCGGTGTGCCGAAACACACCCTTGTAAATAGCAACGGCCTGGCGGCTCCCTGCACCCTAGGGGCAGGCAAAGCGTCCACCTCTGGACCTCCCGCCCGCAGTACTGAACCAGCTGGAGGAGCTGCTGAGCGATATGAAGGCGGACGTGACGCGCTTGCCCTCCATGCTGTCCCGCATCCCCCCGGTGGCTGCCCGCCTGCAGATGTCAGAGCGCAGCATCCTGAGCCGCCTGACCAACCGTGCTGGGGACCCCACCATCCAGCAGGTCAGGCTCAGCCTGCGCACCCGGGTGCTCCCTGCCAGGCTTGGGTGGGTTCAGGACCGCACCCGTAAAGCTGAGTCCTTGCCTCCAGGGCGCTTTCGGCTCCTCCCAGATGTACAACAGCAACTTTGGGCCCAACTTCCGGGGCCCTGGACCGGGAGGGATTGTGAACTACAACCAGATGCCCCTGGGGCCCTATGTGACCGGTAGGTGCCCTCTGCTTCCAGGCAGCATGCACACAGGTGCCCTGCGGGGCCCGGCCTGCCCGCTGCCGCGGACGCCGGCCGAGCCCACCATGTGCTCTCTTTGCAGACATCTAGCCGACCCCGCAGCGTCCCCCCGTTGCAGTGCTCCCTTCCAGCTGAGGTGAGGCTCCCACCACCGCTGTGCTGCTCTGCCGGGCTCAGCGGGGCTCACTGGGCCTTGGTAAAGCTAGTGTGACGGACTGGTTGGCCTCCACTGCCTTTCGCTCGCTGGCGGGCACCCCAGGGAGCCATGCTTGTGTCAGCTCCCAGCCCCTGCCCCTGCCCGTGGCAGAGGGTAGCCGAGGGTCTGGGGCTATTGCTGGCCAGGAGCGGGGGCTGATTCCAGACCACTTTCACGGGACCACCAGCTTCCTCCAAGTCCCGTTTGTCCCTGTAGGAACTGTCGCCTGAGGGTGGAGGTTCTGGGGGCTTCCAGGCTGGGTGCTGGCCCTGAGGAGGTGTCCAGAGGCCTTGGCCGGGGAGTCCCCTCTGAGCTCCGAGGGCAACTCCAGCTCCTGGGGCCTCTGGCCGCCCGGCCACCCACAACAAGTAACCTGCTGATCCACCTTTCGTAGCGCGATGCCGGGCCACCTGCTCGACCCCCACGGGAGAGAAAAGCTACGGACTTGTACGAGCCAGTGCCCCCTCGGGACAAAAAGGGAAACCGAGTGATGCTATCACATGGAGGACGAGGCCCAGCCCGGCTGGGCCAGAGCCCGGAGGCACCATCTCGTCGTAATTCAAGTCTTCTTCCACGTGGCACTGCACCCACGGCCACGCGGATGTGCCCCTCCACCCCTCTCAGAGCGACTCCCTAGAGGAGATTCATTTATCTGTACATCTGTGCACTTTCCTATCGGAGACTCGGATGCTTTTGTCTTGATAAAAGGTGGCTGACATATGGAGGATCCTGGCCTGGAGCATCCAAGGCCCTGTACCAGGCTCTGGACCCGAAGGAAAACTCCCTGACTGCTCAGCCAGAGAGGAAGCAGCCCCTGGTGACCTAATTAGCCTTTAGTGTCCCTCGCCCTGTCCATCTGGCTTTGTGACGCCCTTCTGCTCTGTCCCCTGCCTGCCTGGGACCCTGATGCTGGGTGGGCAGGCAGGGAGTGGCTGTCTGGCCCGGGGGTGGGACACTGCCTGGTACCAGGTCCGGAGGTGTTTCCCGCTCCCTTCATGCCAGGCCTGGGGACCCTCAGATAGAGGCTGTCTCCTGGGGAAGGTGGGCACGTGTCTGTCCCTGGCCCAGCCTGTCCAGGGGGCCGGACTCTGTGGTTCCAGCTGAGGGGCAGTGGCCTTGTGGCCCAGGGCAGGCCAAAGTGTATGTCCTAGAGTGGGCAGGGCCTGAAACTGACAGCCACTGTGGGAGGGGCAGAGGGTCCCCATCTGCCGGAAGTGTGGTTGCAGGCAGGTGTAGCTCCAGCCCCGGCAGAGAGGGTCGTGGTCACAGGGTGGCCCAGCAGTCCCACTCCCCTCTGGGTACAGACTTCCCTGTCCAGACGCCCCTGGGCCACAGACACCTAGGAACCAGACCACCTGGGGGCAGGCGTCATCTCTCTCCTGTCCCTTTGGGGCACCATGTACTTTGCTGAGTTCTTGGAGGGCCGGGACTGGACCCAGTGGCCCTGTCTCCCAGGCGCCTGCCTGATTCCCTGCAGGAGCAGCCTGGAGCCTCGGCCCATCTCCTGGGTACGCGCTGGGGTGCCTCTGTGGTACTGTGCGGTGGCCTGGCTGGCCTGAGGGTGGAGGGAGCTGGGAGTTTCCCTGGGGGACCCGGGAGACAGACTCTCCGAGCGTGAGGAGGGAACCCTGAGCACGGCAGCAGGAGCGGCACTGGCTGGGCTCTCTGAGGAAGGTGTGAGACACAGTGTCATGGATCCCTGGGGATTGCTGGGCCCTCGCTGAGCCCCAGGTGTCCTTGTCTGCAGTGTGGCTCTTTCTCTGAACCCCCAGAGGCCAGACCCCTAAGCCCCTTCCACTGTGGCTGGCTTCCCACACACCTGTCTTCATCCAGATCCGAGGGGGCAGAGTGGGGTGCCCCGGAGGTGGGGAGCATTGCAAGGGGCCCTGAGCAAAGCAGGGGCTGGGTTTTGCTGCTCGCAGAATGGGGGAACCTGTGTGTTGCCAAGTCTCGGCTGGCAGCCCACGTCCACGTTTCCTGCCACGTTAGTTCCCCAGCAGGGCTGGGTTTCTGCAGAACCACCTCTGGTCAAAGGTCTCAGAGGGAGCTCAGGTGACACTGGCAGTTGGGCATGGAGCCATGAAGCATGCTGTGTCCCGGGGACCAGCCTGAGCGGAGGAGATGCCCCTGGAAAGCAACCTTTGGAAGCTCCCCTTGTCCTGTGAACCTGGCTTCTCCCTGTGCGGAAGGTCATCCGGGTGCCTGGGTCCCTCCATCTGTCCCAGGTGCTGCTGGTGGGTGGAGCAGAGGGTGTGGGGGGGAGGCCCCTCTGGGTGCCAAGCGTAGGTCACCTGGAGCCTCCAGCATGGCTTAGAAAGAGGAGGGGACCAGGAGAGGGTGAGGCCACGCTGCCGTCTGCCCACTGTTGGGTGGCCTGGCAGTGCCCATGGGCACCAGTTGGTCTAGAAAGGAGGAAGTGTGCCCACCCCGTTTTACACACCGGAAGTTTACAGTTGTGGTACATCAGCCCAAAGGCACTGGCGTTGTTGTGTTCATCTTCCCCCCCTTAATTTTCAGATTTTTTTTTAACAAAGTATTTTTTTAGGTGCGGTGACCCAGAAAGGGCCCGTTGGGTGTGTGTGTGTGTCCTGAACTCTTCTCCTACAGAACGGAGCCGGCCTGGGTTGAGTCTGGGGTCGCACTGTCCCCAGCTGAGGGCCTTGGGCAAGCTGGGGCGCGCAGCCAGGGTCCCAGCGGGGAGAGGTCGAGCTCTGGATGCTGGGCCCCCTGTGACTTGTGACTTGTCCCCGGTCCTGGCCTGAGGGAGGCTGGGCAGACTGTAGCCAGCACAGTCCCCTTTACTTTGTACTCTGTGTGTATGTTTTGGTTTCTGTGTTTTAATAAATCCTTTGGGAAGGGAATGGCTCAGTGTGGTTTTTAAGGTTCTTACTGATGGGGGGTGGGGAGGTCCCCCAAGCGCCTGTGGGCCCTGGCCTGAATCCCTTGGGAGAAGTAGGGCGGATCCCCAGGGTGACCCCAGTCTCTGACCCCACCAGGCCCTCCCATCCCTGTCATGGCTACGGGGCCTGGTTCCAGGGTCGCCCGCACCTGGTGGCCTTGCCCTCCTCTGTGGCACTGCCCCAGAAGAAACGAGGGGACAGGAGGCGCAGAGGCCAACGGGCTTGGGTTTTATTTGTCATTCCATAAATACGCGGCTGTCCCGGAAGCTGAAGTCCGGTGGTCTCTGCCTGGGGGGACGCAGATAGTGGAAGAACCACGATCATTAGAAAATGAGAGAGAGAGCGAGTTACGAACATGGCAGCGGGGTGAGAACAGGACCTGAGCCTTCACCATGGGCTCGGGGCACGTGGGAGCGGGCTCTGCTCTCCGCGGTGAAGCCTGAGCCCCCGGACTGGGCTCTTCCTATGTCCAGCTCTCCGGGTGAGGGCCTCGGCCGTGCTTCCGGGAGAGGACAGGGGCAGCAGGAGTCGGGAGGGAGCCGAGGCGGTCCCCTGGCCCAGGCCAAGAGCTTCAGGCTTCCTTGTCTAGCTCTTGGTCTACCATCCTTCCCCAGAGGCCCCTCCAACGCCTCCCACATCGGGCTCCCACCCCAGCCTTGTTCTCCCTGCGGTGGCTATAAAGGAACAGCCCCCGGAGCCAGGGTGTGGAGGTGCCATTCAGAGGCTGCCGGGGTCCTGGATACCATGCATGTGGGCCTCCCGAGGTCCTCCCAGGGTGCTCCCTTTCTTGGGGAAATGCAGCCAGCAGGGATTCCACGTTCCCTCGAGTGGCCCCTGGGGAGCAGCAGTCTCCGACCCAGGGCACTAGGCACATCACGTTCCTCCTCCCCACAGTGGGCAGGGCCGGGTACTACCCGTCAGCCAGGGCCAGGTGACCTGTCCCCAGACAGCCACCTGAGGTCCCCACACAGAGGGGGGCGGCTACAGCCTGGTGGCCTCTGCTTAGAGGGACACTGCCCCCTCTGGACACTGACAGGGTGGCTTCTGGTTGAAGCTCATGGCAGAGCTTGGTGGAGAAGAGCCCCAGGGTCTGGTCCAGGGGCAGTGTGGGGGTTCTGGACTCCAGGGCCGGCCGGCCGCCCTGGGAGACGGAGGAAGCCAGGTGCCCTGGCTCCCTCTTCCACGACCACCTCCTCTGCCTGTGTCTCAGTGGGTTTCTTCCAGCCACGGTCCCAGGCCTCCACCCAGCCTGGACAGGGGCAGGGGGAAGCCTGCTGGAATGTCAGCTCCACCAAAGGGCGTGGCAGGACAGATGTTCCTGCACCTGCACGGAGGGTGTGGGTGGATGACACCCACTGGGGTGGAGGAGCGGGGTCCTCCCTGGGGCCAGCTGGTATAGCTAGGGTAGGGGCATGGCTTCTGCACAGCCCTGGTCCTACATAGAGAAGGCTGGGTCCCACACAGGACCGTGGCCAGGCAGCACATGGCCTCACACCTGTGGGCCACTGGGCTGTCACCCTCTCTTCAGCCCCTTGCTGCTAAGGGTCTGACGCTCTGCCTGAGTGTCCCTCCCTCCCTTCTGACCATCCTAGGTGAGCGGGTGTGGAAGGGAATGAACAGCCCGGCCATCTCTCCTGGGCGCGGGTCCCTGAGTTCTTTTCCTACATGGCGTGTGTTGCTGTTTGGTGCAGCCCCCAGCCCCTGCACCTGCAGCATGGAAACCCCAGAGACCTTCCCTGGAAAGGGGCTGAGCATGGCCTCTTCAGAACCCAAGCCATCACCCTGGCGCGGGCAGGAGTGTTAGAGGAGGGACCCTGCTAACCTAGAGGAACACAGTCAAGTGCGCGGGGCCCGGCCTGCTCCCCCTGCCCGCCATGTGGCCTGCAGCCATGGTCCAGGTCATAGTGCTTGGCATCGGGCCTTCTGGGTCAGGACAGAGGGGCCTGCTCCCCAGGGCTCCTTCCCAAGTGCCCTGGCCTCCTGGCAGGGGGCTCTTTGATTGTGTACAGGGTTGAACACAACGGGATGATTAGCCAGAAATCAGATCCCCAAATTTCTGTGGGTCCCCAACCACACACCCAATCCCCCTGGGGTCTCTGCCCCTGCCAGCAAGGGTTAAGTGTGGGCCCAAGGGCCAGCTGGGTAGCCATGACCCCTGCCAAGGCCCAGTGGGCACAGGGCTGGATCGGGGTGGAGAGAGTGGTGGGAGGTGCCTGGGGTCAGGCCCAGCAATGTGCCTGGAGCCCATGGGAAGAGGGGGACTGGAGAAACTCCAAGGGGAGGCCCCACCCTGCCCACTGGGGCCCTGGCAGAGGGGCCCCCAGGAAGTGCCAGACCCCTTCCCCAGGTCTGGGGTTCTCGGCAGAGGAGAGGCCCACCCTGCCTGACCTGAGGACCCAGCCAGGTCTTGGCCTGACCTTGGCTTTGGGAGTCTCCATGAAAGGCTGGGTACAAACTGGGTTTCTTCCCGGAGGAGGAGCTGCGCAGGCTACGGGCTGTCCCCGGGAGACCTGACAGCGTCCGGCAAAGCAGCGGGTGGTGTCTGAAGGCAACCGGCAGGTCGTGTCCGGTGGTGTTTGGGCACGGCGGGTTCTCTCAGATGCAAACCCACTCTGCACTTGGTGTGGAAACAGCATAAGCAGCGAACAGATGAGGAGGGGCCGGAAACTGTCCTGGTGGGCAGCGGGACAACTTAGGATCTGTAGTCCTTTTTGCTGTAGGGTTTGTTGCCCAGAATGCTGTCGATCTCATGGACAATGGAAGATGACAGTTTGGGAAGGACCTGTACACAAGGACACAGCTAGTCAGACTCTTGCCCCTGTCTGGCCGGGCCTTTGGGGAGGCGCTGACACTTCACGGCACCCTGTGGCTGCCCTGGCTGTGGTCCTCACATCTGGGCTCCACATGCCGCACAGCAGACCTGGCGGCTTTGCATTGCCGAGAGTCCTGGTCTGGATGCCCTCCTTCCAGCTCCCGGGACTCTGGAGCCTTCCGGAAGTGGGGCAGTGGTGATGCAGGGTCCGCAGGCCTGCCTTCCAGGTCCTGGACTGCTCTCCCAGCTGCCTTCCCCTGGGTGACAGCACATCAGCCTTCTAGATGACAAGAACCCCGGTGATGGACTGCTTTGGATCCAGTCACGGCTCCCATCCCGGACCCTGGGGGCTGCTGCGCCGTCCTCTGGGTCTCTGCCCTAGTCTTGGCTTCCCAAGTGGCCCAGCAAGCTCCTCTCCAAAGACCCACTGGTGTGTGCCCTGCTCTGCCTCACCTCCCGGGGCTTCCACATCCCAGTCCTTGGAGGCCCCTGGCTCAGGCCTGCGGCTTCCTTGCCTTTTGTGGCTGCTCCTGCTGCCTGGAAAGCTCTCTGTGCTGTGAGGCTTTGCTTAAAAGCCCGTTTCCACAAGCCCATCTGACAGCCCCCGAACATGGGACTCAGCCCCTCTGTGCCTCTGCCTTGCCCTGGCCCCATTCCCTTTTTTTGTTTTTCTTTTCAGTACCGGGGATTGAACTCAGGACCTTGCGATTTCGAGGCAGGCGTGGCGCCACTGAGCTAAATCACCAGCTTCGCTCCTTCTGACAAGAGTAAAATCCTTTCTCTTTTTACCCTTTCTTTCCCTCTCTCCCTCCTTTCCTTCTCTCCTTCCCAGGATTGAACCCAAGGCCTTCACACTGAGCTACATCCTCAGTCCTTTTTAGGTTTTATTTTGAGTCAAGGTCTCATTAAGTTACTGAGCTGCCCAAGCTGGGCTTGAACTTTCAAACTTCCTGCCTCAGCCTCCCAGAGTGCGGGGATTGCAGTGGTGTACCATGTGCCCATCTGAATCTTGTTTCTGGCACTGTTTCTGTGGGCTCCTGCTGCAAAGGAGCCTCCCGGGAGCAGGGGTCCCTGTCTTCCCCAGATGTTGGACGGGCGGCAGCCAGGGGCTGTGCTGGACCAAGGACTGGCTGGGATGTGCGTCCTGCCGTGGGCCTGGCTCACCTGTATTGCTCCGATGTTTTCCATGAGCTGCTCTGCGTTGGAAGCACCCAGGAGCACGGAGCTGACACCCTCATTCCTCAGGCACCAGGCTGGGGGCAGCGAGATGGAGGTGAGGGGCCCGGTCTGCTGCAGGCCCTCTGGCTCCGAGGGTACCAGGAAGCGCAGCAGTGCCCGGCGGGGCTTTGCCTAGGGGGGCCGGGGGACACTTGGGGATCGCCGCCCTGGCCTTCCCTGCAGAGAGGTGACCCAAGTGCTCCCCATGACCCACGGCTGGCTGCTGGAGGGTGACCCAGACTCTGGGGGACCCCTCCGGGGACATGGCTCCTAATCTCGCCTCAGAGCCCCTCCCTGTGGCCAGCGGGGGACACCACAGCCTGGGCTCTTGGGGACCTCTGCCACGCCCCTGGACACGGCCTGTCCCCATGCCCAGCCTCACCTATTGCCAGCTGCGGGAGGGAGCAGCCCAGGCGCTCAGCGATAGCCTGCAGCTCCTTCAGCTTTGCCTGCTGGCGCCGACCCTCCTCACTCAGGATCTTGTCCTTCAGCCACTGGTAGCCCTGGGCGGGGACAGTGTGGGTGAGGGGCAGAATGGGACCTCTGGAGGCAGATGGCCAATGGGTGCTCCCGGCCGCCTCCTCCCCTGCCCTGCCCGCTCTGTGGGCCAGACTCAGGCAGGCGGCAGACGGGACAGCAGGACATCTCCTCCCACAGCCCCGGGGCGCTGTCTCTCCTGTCTGGCCCAGGATGGAGGCTGCAGAGGAGCGTGTGGGGTCCAGGGCCCCACAGACCTTTCTCTGCTGCCTCCTGTCCTCCAGTGGGGCCCCTCCCAATGCCTGCGGCCCCAGAGGCCTGAGCGAGGGCAGAGTGGAGAATCATGGGGGAGGGACCGCAGACGGCATCAGGGCGGATTTTGGGCCCTGGTGGGGGCCTGTCCTCGGAGTGGGTGGACCTCCAGGCATGGCCCAGCCCCTGGCCGGGCTCCATCCTGATTTTGAGCCTCGGAGCCCATGCCAGGTGCAGGCACAGCCGAGGTACAGCGAGGCATCTCCCAGAGGTCTCAGTCCCAGGTGCCCTCCCACCCGGCCGCTGCTTCACCTTCAGGGAGGCCCTGGAGTAGGGTGGGATGCCACTGTCGTACTTCCCGGACACGATGCCGCAGGCCAGCGGGGACCAGGTCATGGCGCCCACCCCTGAAGGAGAGAGGCCAGGTCAGGGGGCCTGAGGGTGGGGTGGGACAGGGTGGCAGGGCTGGAGCCTGGGTGGGGTCAGACAAGTCACCCACCGATCTTGTGGAACAGCTCAGGCAGCTGCACCTCCACCTTCTCGCGCTGGAACATGTGGTACTCGGCCTGCTCGCAGATGGGCGGGATCAGGTTGAACTGCCGGGCCACAGAGTAGGCCTCCTGTGGGTGCAGAAGGGCCCAGGCAGTCCCGTGTCAGCAGGCAGTGGGGAGAGGACACAGCCCCCGGCATGGCTGGTGCTGCCACCCATCACCCCACCGTGAGCCGGGGGTGCCTTGGGACCCCAAAGCTGATGGCTATGAGAAAGCACAATGCCGTAGTGGGCTGCGGTTCTGGCACTTGCTGGGTGCTGGGCCAGGAGCTCATCTCCCTGCCATGGGTTCCCCACCTGCTGTGAGGGTCCTGTAAGCCAAGGGTGCTTGTGCCCTCGCAACAGTGCCCAGCACTAGTGGCATTCAGAGCTCAGCAGCCGCACTGTTACTTTTTGCTATGATCGCTGCCTCGCAGCCCTGGGCCTGGGGTGACAGCGAACTCCAGCATAGGCTCAGCAGCTGCTCCAGCCCACCTGTGGGCTGGGAGCAAGGCCTCAGCTTTACGGCTCTTCCTCCAACCCACCCAGGACCTGAGCCCGGGCAGATGCCCCCACACAGCCCCGGAAGGCCACCTCTGCCGCCTGCGAGGTCCCCAACTCCCTGCTGAGACTCAGCTCCCTCAGCTGTAAGTGGGGTGCCGATACCAGCACCGAGCCCAGCGCTGGCTCCAGGCAGATGCGGGAAAAGCCAAGTACAACGCTCACTAATGTCACCAACATCCAAGCCGGTCGGTGCCAGGGCTCCCGAGGTTGGGTTTAGCTGGAAATGAAACCCTGCGGGTTCCTTCCGTGGAGCAGGAGTCTGGGACTCTTGGGAGCAATGCTGGTGGCTGGGGTTCTAGGGGGCCTGGCATGGGCAGGTTAAGGCCGGAAGTGAGGTCAGGGGCGGGGTGGGGGGGGCTCTCCCTCCAAGCCTTTGAGCAGAGGGCTCCCTGGTGACACTCCCTGGAGCTCTGCAAACGTCAAGAACCATCCGCTGCCCCCAGCCCCTGCCCTGAGCCTTCAATGGCCCCTGTGGAGGGAGCTGACAATTACTGGGATGCTTCCCTGAAAACATCCTGGACTACGAGTGGGAAGCGGAGGCTTAACAGCTGACCCATGTTCTAGTGCAGCCATGGCCGGGCATCCGTCTCAGGCCATGCTGTGTGGCCTGGAGCTCATTACTTTACCTCTCTGTGCCTCCATTTCCATATCTGAGAACCAGGGTAATGGCAGCACTTGCCCACTGGGACGTGGTGAGGATTAAAGGGGAGTGTCCCCAAGCAGTACCCGAGGGTCCTTACTGAGGGCTGGCTGGGGCAGCAGAGTGCCACTAGGGGCTTCCCAGCATTCAGAGAACCCTCTGAGTTCCAGCCAGGGCTGGGGCAGGCTCCCAGGTTTGCTCTGCAGGTAACCAAACAGCCACCCGTCCAGTGCCACACAATGCTGGGGCTCCAGCTGAGACCTCTGTCTGCAGGGTGCATCCTCCTGTCCTCCCCATGCTGTCACCTCCAGATCCCCCCACAACTCAGGGCAAGGAGGCGTCGCCGTACCATGATCTCCATGGAGCTCCAGCGTGACGTGCCCCAGTACATCGCCATGCCCTGGTTGATGACGTGGGTCATGGCTCGCACCGTCTCTGCGGCGAGAGGGAGAGATGTGGGTGGGGGAGCAGGGGCTCAGGCCCGGCCTAGGCACTTGCTGCAGATACAGGCAGGACGCTGGGAGGAGGGAGGGCTGCAAAGATGTCTTGCAAGCAGTGTGCTTCCTGGCTCTGAAGCTGGGGGTGCGTGTGGGGGGTTCCAGGAGGAAAGAAAAGAGGGAACCACAATCCGAGAAGTTGGTCTTGAAAATAATTTCCCCAGCTAGTTGCAAGCCGAACAGATCTCTGGGAAATGGGCTGCAGGTGCACTGTGATGTCTCGTTGGTGCATTAGTGGGACCTGGGATGGGGCTCTGGACTCTGCATGGGGGTCTTGAGTCTGGAGAGGAACTCAGGTCTGTGGTCACTCTGGAAGGAGCCCGAGAATGGGTTACGGTTCCAGTCAGATTGGCGGAGGGCACAGGAGGAAACAGGGCTTGGCTTGTTTCTGGGGTGTATTCCACACCCTCTTTGGAACAGAAGGTACAGAAGGAACGATGGGGCTGCACGGACTAAGGGCAGGGCTTGGAGCCTGTGATGTCCCAGGGCTGGGGCTACAGGACTGGGGTCCTCTTGGGCCAGGACAGCCGGGGGAAGCACAGAGAGCCTGCCTTGGGCCACACCCCAGGCTCTGAGCAGCACCAGGCCAGTGTCTCCCCAGTGCAAAGGCCGTGTGGGGCAACGGAGGCATCCTGGGAGGGGTGGGCCAGTGCTGTGGGGACCACTGAGGCTCACGTCCTCAGGAACAAGTGGCTGAGCCTCGAGAAGTGGACTCCAACCTGCCAGCACAACGGGTTCTTCTAGTACTCAAGAAAGTCTGTGTGGCGGAAAGTTGCAGTCCTAGGTCTCCCCGGGCCACGGGCACCTCGGGGTGCTGTGGTTTTAGGTTCCAAATTTCAAGAGTGCCCAGCCCTGTGGGGCGCAGGCTGCCCCGGGGCCTCCGCGGGTCCCATACAGTGCTTGCAAGGCCACTGCCCAGGGAGCGTGGGAAGGCGCAAGAACAAGTGTTTCTCAGACAGCGGAGGGACATCACCCCGGAGCGTCCTCGCTCTCCTCATCTGCCCCAGACAGGGGAGCCGAGGTCCCCAGCAGCGGCTGGGGGTGACAGACAGGAGCGCAGGCAGGAAAGGCCAGTTGAGTGACAGCTTGGCCTTGGAACAGCACCGGGCCCATGGGTGCCTTCCCCAGCGGGGGGACAGCAATGCTGGCTTCCGGGCCACCCTCTCTTGGGGTGTCACTTCCCCCATCCTGGGTCCCTAAGCACCTCTTTGGGTGAGGCCTAATCTTGGGGGACCCTGGGCATCCTAAGGGCTGGCGTAAGGTGCCGGTGCTGCTGGGTTGGTGGCCCTAGCAGGGTGACCCAAGACCCCGGGCAAACTATGCCTCAGCTTCCAGCCCTGCAGCCCCAGCCTTGCCCTCTCCTTCCCCCCAAGGTCAGGGACTGGGGCACCTGGGGGTCCGGGATGGGGGGATGTGGGAGGGGAGTCTGGACCTCCCGGGACCTCCCTGGGTCACCTGCTTTGATGCCACATTAGGCATGAAGAAGACAGGGCCTGGTCAGAGATCTAGAGGTCCCAGGGACCCCCGCGGAGCCAGCTCCTGGCTCACTGTCCTGGTCAGGCCTTTCAGAAACACTCTGGGCACCTGTGACCATGCAGCTGACTCCCCATCTCTCGAGCCAAGCCTTCGGTCCACATGCCAGGGACAGGAAGCCCAAGGACCCGATGCCACCTTGGCTCCCTTGCCCTCCCTCCCCACACTCTCCTGTCACCAAGATTCCAACCATGAAGCCCAGGGGAAGAGCCTGTGGGAGGCTGGCGTCCTGAGAGGCAGGGGTCTGGCACCGAGGGTCTGGGCAGAGGCAGCCGGAAGGGAGCCCACTCAAGAGCACGGGCACACTGTCCATCTGCCAAGCGTGATGCCAGTGGCCCCAGAAACAGGGACATGTAAGGACAACTGTCCTTCACCTCAATATTTAATGCCATTGGGCAGAGAGAGGGTACCATTTTTCCACCTGGTGCCCAAACCTAGAGCAACTCCACCGCATCACAAATAATACATGGCGGGGGTCAGGTGGCAGCGCCAGATGGCAGGCAGGAGCCCTTCCGGTGTGCAGTGCTGCCCAGCTCCCAGGAGACCCAGGCCTGGCCCTCGGGGTGCACTTGATGGGGGAGCGCAGGGACCAAGCAGGGGGAGGCTGCCCAGGGCCTGAGAATCCCGCCAGCTCAGGTAGGAGGAAAGTGGCGCCACTGCTATGGAGAGGTCTGGTCCCCAGGTGAGAGCACAGGTGGCCTAGCCAGCCAAGGGGACATGACGGCCACGGAGCCAGGGTGCTCATGAGGAGCCAGAGAGCAGGGAATGGGGGAGAGGCAGGGCTGAGAGAGTGATCAGAGGAGAGACAGGGCTTCCGGGTCCCCACTGGGGTCGGCCCTTGTGGAAGCTGCACTTCCCCAGCCTCTCCCAGCACACGATCCAAGGTCGAGTTTCCAGGTGGGCAGAGGCAGCTGAGGGGAGGCCCGGGTGGCCAGGTGGCACGGGTCCCAGCCATGCAGGCGTGGGGACATGCACGGGAGCGGCCCGAGATGATGGCGTGGGTGTGGCAGGGCTCCGACATTGCTTTGCTCTTCCTTCCCTTGCAAGGTGTCCTCACAGAACCCCCCGCCCTTATGCATTTTATGGAGAAGTTTGTCATCGGGGACAGAGTTGTGTAAATAAAAAAAGCTGTCTCATAAAATGCAGCTTGGACACAGAAGCCAATAGCCGGCTGAGGGTACTGTGTACCTTCTACGATGAATGTCCTTGACTTGGAGGAACTAAATGGGTCCCCTGGTGATAAAAGAAAGATTTAAAGAGACCAGAGTTTATAGCTGTGGGAACGCGGGAGTTGTGGACGATGCAAGGCCAGGGCGGGGCGCACAAATCACTGCTCAGAGCTCTCCTTCTGTTCAGAAGAAAGCACTGCATGCCTATACACACACACATGCGTGGCACATACATATACATGGAAAAACAACTCAAACACAACTTCATTTTCCAAGCTCCTGAAGCAGCAAAGCACAAATGAGACGATGGTGTAGCAGGGAGTTGGGGAGACCGGAGGGCGCAGGGGTCGAGAGGAAACAAACGTCAAAGAAAGCAGAGCTGCTGTGGGCCCACATTGAAAGGGGCGCAACAGGGGTGCCAGTCACCTTACTGCCACCCTGCCTCCTGTACAATACCGGCTCCAGGGAGGAGGCCACTCGCGTGGTTCTGACACAGCCAGGGAAGGCCGCCCCGCCCCCGCCCGTGGGACAGGGCCACCATGGGAGCATGGGGCAGACCCCTGGTCACCCTGGCAGTGCCCGGCTCTTCCGGGAGCACCTACCTTCCATGGGCGTGTTGGGGTCTGGGCGGTTGGCGAACACCACGTCCACGTACTCCAGCTGCAGGCGGTCCAGCGAGGCCTTCAGACCTGGGAGGACCGGGAGGGGTGTCACGGCCGCCCGCGCTCCCTCACAAACACTTCCGGGCCCTCTCCAAGAGCGCCTGGCTCGAGGGACGAGGGACGGGAGAGGAAGAGGGGAGGCCCCGTCTCTCAAAGCTTCAGGTGGCGGGTGGAGGTTGTGAAGAGCTGCCCTGGAAACGGCACATCCCAGGGGAGCAGGGGCCTGCTGTCCAGGTGGATGAGGGGAACCACACGCCAGGAGGCCTCTGGCCAGCTCCTGGGCCCTAGCAGCCTGCGCTGGATCAGGCAGGGGAGAGAGTACAGTATGTGCCGTCTACCTGACCACTCCGGTGGTGTCTGATTGGCAGTCACCAACGAGTGCGTCCCAAAGCCTGACGCTGAGCCTGCAGCCTCTGTGGCCTCAAGGCCGCCAGACGCAGGTTTGAACGGAGAGTGGACAGGACAGTACTTGACAGAAGCCAAGGCCACAGGCACGAAGACAGTAAGGGTGCAGCTCACCCCATGTCCCGCTGCCCTCACTCTGCTGTCCTGTGTCCAGCCCCAGTGCTGGCCCATTCCATGAGGGTCCCCTGGCCCACCTGGAAGGAGGGTCGGACCCGAGCTCTGGGTGCCCAGGTTGGCCCTTTGCTGGGTAATGGGTGCGGCCGGGTCTCGGCTTCCCCGGTCTGGACCCCGTGGGATCTGGTGACCACCACCCTTCCTCACCTTCTATGATGTGCTTCCTGGAAAGGCCCCTCTCCGTCTCTGCTCTGAAAAACAGGCCAACAGCGTGGGTGTTATTTTGAGCCATTTGGGGAAATGTTTAGGACGCAATTTTAGGCGAAAAAGTAGGTCGGCAAATGCGACATGTGGCCTGGTTCTGCTTTGGGGGTGACAACCGGAAGCCCAGGCTCAGGTGGAAGCTGGGACGAGGTCAGGTGGCTTGGATTTTCTTAATTTTAAGAATGAATCATAAGTCTGACTCCTGTGAGATGTAGATCACCCAGCCCCTGGTAGAGCCAGACACCAAGGCTGGGAGGCCTGGAAGATTCAGGATGGTTTGGATAGTTCACAAATTTTCTGTCCTCTAGAATTTTTGTGTTGTTCATCACAAAGGAAAAGAAAACCATGTAAGTGAAAACAACAATTAAAAAAGGTCTGGGTGCAAAGCAAACTTGGCCGAAGCTGCTTTTCTTAACAGGACGGTCACTGGGCGTGGAGGGAGGGGATACACTGGGCCCCGCAGCTCCCGTCCCCAGGTCCCCCGGCCCAGACCCTGGTGTTGCATGTCTGCACCTACTTTCCACCCCAGAAGATCTTGGTGGTGATGACAAGGCTGGAGCGCCTGTGGGATGGAAGACAGGAGGAGGGTTATGGGGCCCAGGCCCCAGCCCTCACCCACCACCCCGGACACCCACTGGCATCTCTGCATCGTTACTGCCTGCTCTATGCTGAGCCTGGGGTCTTGGCCTCCACCAAGAGGGCCTGGGGCAGCGCATCTCCCACCCCCAGAACTGTAGCTGGCTGGCTGGGGCCAGACGGCAGGGGACAGTGTGACCAGAGCTCCGAGGGCCACTGAGGCCCCGCTGCTTCCTCTGCTGGGAACACGGGCTGTGGGGCTTTGGGCAGGGTGCAGAGAGATGCAGCAGGGACACTTCCCCAGGGAGGAGGTGACCCCCGGGGGTGACAGTGACCATCCAGGCTCTTCTGAGGCAGGAAGCTCCTAAAGCCGTACGGAGAATGCTAGCACGTACCTCCCTGTGTCCCCACTGCAGACCCAATCATGGCATCTGCAGTGTGTGTCTCCCTGAATCCCTGGGGGAGGGACTTATTTGGGATTAGTTAGAGCGAGGTGGGTGAGAGGAGGGGCGTCAGAAGCCCTGCCGGTGGAATGCGGGCTGCTCTGGCCCTGGCACCTCGAGCCTCTGCAGTGGAGCTGTTGTATGCACCGGGCTGCCGGGGGCTCTCACTTGCAGCTTTTTTTCTTTTTGGTACCGGGGATCGAACTTGGGACCTTGCACTCTCCAGGCAGGTGTGGAACCTCTGAGCTAAATCCCCGGGCCACGTGCAGCTCTTTTTGCCCCGAGGCTTTGCCTTCAGTGCCCTGACCCGGAATCCCTTCCTGAGGGCCGGGTCAATGTGGAGTGGAGCCTCACAGGGCAGCCACCATGGTGTGAACCCTCGGGCTCCGGAGGAGCAGGGGCTGCTCCAGTGTGGGACTTTCTTTCCAGCAACAAAAACCTGGGGACTTTGAGGCCTTGGCAAGACTGTCCCAGGGGCTGACATGGTGGACCCCAGGCGCTCCGCTGGTAAACAGGAAGGAGCTGCCACTGAATGCTCATCCCCCTCCTAGGCCTCTGATCCAAGCCCAGGCTCGCCCCTGGCGGCCAGCACCCCCCAGGCCAGGAACCCCAACTCCCCAGTACCACCTCCCACCCCGGCCTTCCCTGTGAGTCTGAGTGTGAGTCTGTGTGAGTGTGTGTGTGTGTGTGTGTGTGTGTGTCTGTATGAGTGTGCCCTGGGGACAGATGGCAGAGAGAATCGAGTAATTACCTCCATCCCTTCTTCTTAATGATGTTTCCTAAGACCACTTCAGCCCTGCAAAGCAAGAGAGGCACAGATTTCATCACTGCAGAAGGGGCAAATCAAAGCCAGCCTGCCACTGGGCCCTCTGTGAAGACGCCATGGAGCTGCAGAGCCAGGCTGGCATTCCAGAGGGAAAGGCCAGAGCTGCACTGTGCTTCCCACCTAAGTAGCTGCCGGCCTGGCTTCCAGCTCCTGTGGGGAAGGAAGGAACCTTCCCACTCAGCAAGACCAGCATCCTGTTTCCCAGGCTGCTAGAAATTCACACCCGGCCATGTTATTCAGGTGAAATTTGCAGACACGTATATTTTTCAAAGATAGATTATTCGTCGGGCCCATCCTGGCTCCCGAGCCAGTGGTGGTGGGGTTTCTAGGACAGCATGTGCATGTGTGCACACGTGTGTGTGTTGGCATGTACCCCTCTGGTTTCTTGCTCTTGAACAGAGCCATGCCATGCCCACCCCTGTTGGCTCTGCTGGGCATCACTCTGAGTTCTGCACCAAACTCGGGCCTGCGGGGGTCACCAGCCCGCTGTTCTGGCCTCCTTTGCCACAGCAGTGCTGGATTAACTTTTAAAAACTTTCTGCTTGTACCAAAATGTTTCTGAGCAAAAACAACAGACGGAGAACGATCCATACCCCGTGCTACATTGCAATTATAAAAGCGCCTGAGTCATCCGCTCAGAAATAATGGGCTCTAATTTGCAAGCTGTTCAGCACACATTCTGAATGCTCCTCGTTTACGGTCAGGACGCACAGGAAATTTGCTCAGCCCTGGGCCTCTTCTTTTTATTCCCTGGTTCCTGATTTGTGGGACAAAGGATCAGGAGAGGAGGAAGCAGACTGAGGAGCCACTGGAGCTGCAGACCATGGGGTAACCAAGCCCAGGCGCTTGCAGTCCTGGCTACAAGAACTGCAGCTGCCTGGGGGAGCAGGGCAATGCTGCAGCTCTCTGGGAAGCACCCAGGTTAGTGTCAGAGCAAGAAGCAAGAAGCAAGAACCGTGCTGGCTACCCTGGTAGGCAGGAGGGGCCACGCTGCCCCCTGCCTGCTGGACGTGTCCCTAGCCCCCTGCCCAGAGCAGCGCCTCCGAGCCTGTGCCCAGGACTCAGGGCTTGGCTTCCCAGGGAAGGCGTGAGCACCGGGTTCAACTCTGGGAGGAATGGAGGGTGAGCCTCACGGCCAGTGGAGGAGGGGAAGGCCAGGGAAGAGAGCTGCTTTCTGAGACCTTGGCTTCCAGCGAGGAGCTCCGAGAGGCCCGGGGCCGCCTGGCACTCAGCATGCTTGCTCTGGCACGCCAGGCCCGGGAGTCCAGTCAAACAGGGTGGGAACAGTGACAGGGCAGAGTGTGGCTGTCGATGCATGGAGCGTGCTGGGCCCAGGCATGAGGCTGGACCATCTGGAGCTGGAGGAAGCCTTATGGAGCTGCCCTCCGTGTGCCCTCGTGGGCAGCAGGCGCCAGGCAGGAACAGGGCCAGGAAAGTGGCTCAGGAGAGTGTGTGTGAGTGTGTGTGTGTGTGCGCGTGCACGGACACCTCTGGGCTGGGCATCTGCCCTGGGCTTCTCTGCTGACCCTTTGGGTTAGCCCATCTGTCTGTCTGGAGAGGCTGGAAGGACACTGTGGCTTGGGAGGGACAGAAGAGCTGCTAATGGGGGCCGGAGGACGTTTGGGGGTCCTGCTGTCAGCTGCCCAGGCCCTGGGTTGGCACTGGGCCCCGGGGCAGGCAGCAGGTAACACAGGTGACAACTGACCCCTGCCTGAGCCAGGTGGTGCCCAGGGCCGCAGAGCACAGTGGGCCAGGGCTGCAGCAGCCCAGCTGTGGGGAACTTGGCTGCTCCAGGCAGGAGGCCGAGGGAGGGTGAAGAGAGAGCAGCAAATGATTCCACAAACAAAAGCTGACTTTTGGAAACAGATGCAGGAGAGTGGATGATTTGATTACAGCCAGTCTTTAAAATCAAAGCCAAGGGCTCTGGCTGAAGAGGGCTGAGTTTTTACATAATTGAGGAGGAAAGCTCACTGCCAAGACGGGGAGCGCTTCTGCAGCAGCGGGGCCCAGTGCCTCCCTCTTAGCTCCAGTGGCCAGTGCTCCTTGCAGCCCTAATTGCATCATTAAGACATGAAAATGTCAGGCGCATGGGGCTGACTGCAGGTCACCAGCCGTCGAGAGGCCTCCGTCAGCAGCTTAATCCTGGCTCTGTTCCCGCACAGTGTCTGGCACGGGGAGCACTGTGGTCACCCTGGTGCTTGGGCACACGGGGAGTTAGTTTAGCAAGTGACCGGTGTCCACAGGTTCTGTGATTCTGGCCCCGTAAAAATTCCTCCCGAGGCCGCTTCGAGTTTAGAAAAGAAGCCAGCGTGGAAGGCACGCTTGGGAAGGAGGACAGTGGGTACCGGAGCTCTGGTCCCTCACAGACACCTACTTGCCCGCTGCGTAGACTTCCGCAGTATCGAAGAGGTTGATGCCATTGTCGTAGGCCAAGGTCATTAGTTGCTCTGCCATCTGAAACGAGAAAACCAGAGTCGCTCAGGCCAGCCTTTGCCTGCCAGCCTGAGGGCAGCTCTCAGTAAAGCCCTTAGAGCGCCCTGTGTGGAGGCGCCCGTCTGTCATCCCAGCACTCTGTGAGGCTGAGGCAGGAAGATTGCCAAGTTCAGTGCCAGCCTGGGCTATACAGTGAGACCCTAAAAAGGGCTGGGGATGTAGCTCAGTGCAAACACTCTGGGTTCAATCCTCATTAGCACAAAAACCAAAAACAAAACCCCCTGAAAGTCATAAACCCTTCAAGAGGAACAAAGAAGGGCAAATGGATGAAGAAAAAGCCTACAGACTGAACTTCTTGAGAGCAGGGACCCTATGTGCTGGGTTGAACCTCCAAAATGTACCTGTGCTCAGAACCTCAGAACACAAACTTGTGTGGAAACAGGGTTCTTGTCAAAGCAGTTAGTTAGGGTAAGGCCATGCTGCTTAGGCCGGGCCCCACATCCGGTGTGGCTGAGACCCTTCCAGGAAGAGAAGACGGTCTCAGAGAGGCCGTGTAATGATGGCACTAAGACTGGAGGGATGTGGCCACAAGCCAAGACATGCTAGGACAGAGCAGCCACTAGAAGGCAGGCACGGCCAGGGGCAGACTCTCCTTCAGCCTCTGCAGGGACCAGGGGTCTGTACACACCTGGATTTTGGCCTCTGGCTCCAGAACTATGGGACAACACATCTGTGTTGTTTTAAGCCACTCAGGCGGTGGCACTTTGGTATGGTGGGCCCAGGTCATTAGTGTAGCCACCACTAGGAGCTCCACAGACCTTGCAGGGTGAATGACATTTCTTAAAGCTCTGGCTGTGTCTTCAGCTATGTCTCACGGCACCCTCTCCAGGACCATTGCTCTCTTGCAGAGGGAGGAATGGAGTCCCCTGGCTCCCAGGAGGCCCCATGGCCATGGCGGGAGTCTCCCAGTGCCACAACTCCCCACCCTCAGCGAGGTGGGATGGACACTCGGCCCCCAGTGCTGCCCTGCTGCCGAGTAGCTCATGCTCCCTGGGCTGCTACAATCCTGAACTTGTGCAAAAGAAAGAGGGGCAGCGGGGCTGGGAACAGACCTGGGGCTCCAGCCTCAATGGACACCCGGAGATGCGGTGTGGGAAGGCACCCTAAACGCTGCCATCCCTCCAGAGAGTGCTCCTGTCCCTGTCACTGGCAACCTCCTCAGTGTGGGGTCGAGAGCCAGGTTCCCTCCACAGTGAGCCGGGGTGGGTGAATTAGCTCCAATCCCCCTCCATCGCTGTGCGCGAGGCAGCCGGAGCTGCTGTCTGCGCAGAGCCCGAAGCCCTGGCACTGGGCAGGTGTGCAGTGAGGACGGGTGGGTGTGGACAGTGAGACATGAGGGGACGCGCCAAGGGGGACCATGGTGAGAGAGGCAGGCTGCGGCCGGTGCTGCCCACGGCAAGGTGGGCTACAGCCTCCTGGTTCTCAAACGTGGGCCGGGGACCCAGAACATTTCAGGTGCTGTGCAGACGGAGCCTGGATGGGCCAGCAGCTGGGGTTGGAATCAGCGAGCTGAGGGTGCTGAGGCCACTCTGCTGTCCCCTCTGGCGGCCACAGCTCAAGTGACCCAGCGACAACAACGGCTCTTCCCAGGGCTCCAGCTGGCCCCCAGCCCCTCCGTCTGGACAGAGAGAGACATCCCACCCAGTCTCCCCACAGCTCCACGTGCGGGCCTCGCTCACTGGTGCTGCTCGCCCTGACTGTCTCGGGATGTGTCCTGGGACCCGCCTGCGCCAGCAGGAGGACACCTGTGCATGCCTGAGGGGGCCTGTGGAGGCTTTGGAAAGAGAAGAGTGGACTCCGGGTCCTGGTCTTTTATTTTTTAAGTTTTTTGGGGAATGGTTTCCTTGTGTTCTATCTCTGTCTCTCTCCCCAGTAATGGCGATTGAATCCAGGTTCTTTGCACTGAGCTACATCCCCATGCCCTTTTTATCTCTTTTTTTTGGTACCGGGGATCGAACTCGGGACCTTGCGCTTGTGAGGCAGGCGCTGGAACCACTGAACTAAATCCCTGGCCCACCATGCCCTTTTTATTTATTTTTAATTTTGAGACAGGGTCTTGGTAAATCTGGGCTCAAACTTGGGATCCTCTTGCTCCAGCCTCCCAGGGTGCTGGGATGACAGGTGTGTACCACCATGTCCCGCTACATGGATATTTTCCATCCCCTTATGTGAGAGGTGGCCCACACTGCAGATACCCTTCGTACTTTCCTTTTTCCACTTGGGAGTCCATCCTGGAAACTAGTTTCTGTTTGCTCACGGGATCCCCTTCATTTCTTATCCCCTTTCTATTTTTATTTTTTGAGACAGGGTCTCACTATGTAGCTCAGGCTGCCCTTGAACTCACGGTGATCCTCCTGCTTGCTGGGATTTGAGGCCTGACTTTTCATCTCTTTTTAAAAGCTAGAATATTTAGTAGAGTCTTTTTAGGTGGACAGGTCAGGGGCATTGAGTGTGTGCATACAGCTGGGCCCCGGCCGCCCTCTCCAGGACTTCCTCAAGCAGCCAGCCGGGAGCTCCATCCCCTCTGCCTTCTCCCGGCCTCTGCCACCCTTGCTCCTGCTTCTGCCTCTGTGAATCTGCCCTCTAGGAAGCCTCACGGAAGCAGAATCACCCAGCCGGTGTCTTTTTTTTTTTTTTTTTTGGTACCGGGGATCGAACTTGGGTCCTTGCGCTTGCGTAGCAGGCGTTGAAACCACTGAGCTAAATCCCCGGCCCCAGCTGGTGTCTTTGTGACCTGCTTAGTCTGCTCAGCACAATGTCCTTGGGGGTCACCTGTGCAGGAGCATGCGTCTGAATTCTCAGGGCTGGGCTCTGAAGGACGCTTAGGAGTTTTCCAGGCATCCAAGGGGAGAGGAGGAGGTGGGGTGTTGAGGGCAGGGGCTGGTGTGTGCTAAGGAGGGCGGCCTCACTGAGCCTGCCCTGGGCCCTGCCTCTGCTCTTCCTCTTGTGCCAGGGCTGCCGGCTCCCCTTGCAAACCGAGCCCCAAACTGACTGCCCCCACTGTGCCCAGGCTGCCCAGCACCCAGTGCCTCTCTGCTGCTTCTGCAGTAGCCTCACTAGTTCCAGCAGCATCCGCATCAGAAATGCAGAATCCAAGCTGGGCATGGTGGTGCACACCTGTCATCCCAGCTACTTGGGAGGCTGAGGCAGGAAGATCTTGACTTCCAGGCCAGACTGGGGAACCTAGAAAGGGCTGGCGGTGTGCCCTCGGTTTCAACACCCAGTACTGCCCAAAACAAACAAACAAACACAAAAAGCAAAACTGCAGTCTGGCTGGGGCTGGTGGTGAACTCCTGCAATCCCACCTGCTGCGGAGGCCTCAGTGTTTCTCACCCACGATGGGGTGCAGACCCAAGCCAGGCGGGGAGCAGAGTTATCCTGGAAACCGATGGTGGTGGCTGCACGCAGTGTGATGTGCTAAAACCACTGAACCGTACCCTTGGGAGTACAAATGGCAACTTTCACGTTTCATGTATTTAATGAAAATTCACCAAAATCAACCAGCGGGCCAGGATGATCTTTGCTCCTGGCTGCCTAGGGAATGAAGACCGTGGCCTCCCCTGCTGGACAGCAGCCAGGGCCCGCACTCCGTGTGTCAATTTTGTTTCTGACGCTAACCGCAAGGTTCATATAATTCTTCTTGTTCCTTCACCGATGGCTGTCACCTGCCACAGCCTTTTGGAACCTGACTGTCATCTGTCATATCCTCTTTGCTCCCAGCCCGGTCCCCTAGAGATGGCCTCCAATGCTTTCTCTGTGTCACCATGTCCCCGATGGAGACACGGTTGGCTGGAGCTGGCATTGGTACTCTGCTGCCACCGAGCTGTTGGCGAAAAGTCCCCTAGTGTGGCTGACACTGTCTGCAGACCCCTTCTACACCTTAGTAACCACCCCCAGAGGCCTCGCGGGCCTGACCTCCCCCGAGAGAGCCACCCAGCCCCACGGCTGCGATCTCTGCCTGCTGGGAACCAGTCCGGGGGCTCGGGAGCTCTGTCTTCACCCAAGACAGCCCACAGCCAGCGACTCGGAAACAGATCCACCACAGGCACCACCACAGACTTAAAGGTGAACAGAAGTACAACCCGTATGCATTCAGATTTTGAGGCGAGCAAAGCTTTCCCTTTGAAGATGGAGCAAGCCCAGCTGATGAAGTCTCAAATCAAGGCACTTACTTAGTAATTTTTAGACGCACCCCTTCCAACAGGAAGTAGGGCAGGGGTGACACCCGTGTAGGGGGCAGATGCCCGGAGCTCTCTGAGTGAATGCATGTGCTTGGCTCTGGGCATCTCCCCACTGTCCCCCATCTGGGTGTGCACCCCTCTCCTGGGGACCCTTGTTCTCCGACTGTGCAGATAAACCCCAGCAGACACATTTGATTTCGATGCATGTGATTAACACCACTCATGGAAGCGTGTGGCGAGGAGCTTGGTAAACAACACCCTCTTGAGGGTCTGCAGCCTGCGGGACGTTGGCGGAAGCTGCATGACAAACGACCTGGACAGACTCACGTGCTTGCTCTGAAGGGCGCAGCCTGGCATCTGGCTTGTGACTTGGGAGCTGTGCACTCCCAGAGCTCTTGGTTAACCACGGGTGGTGGTTAAGCTCCTGGGGCGGAGGGATGTGCAGAAGGCCCCAGCACCCAGCCACTAGGTGGCGGCACTGGGTGTGGCCTCTCCTCAGCCCTTGCTCCTGGCTCTGCCTCCTGCTGTCCCTCAGAGGGAGGCTGCCCTGTGGCTTCCACAGGCGCCTGCTCACTGGATCACGCAGGGCACTTGGCCGCGTGCTGCTGGGTTCGGGTGGAGGGAACCGTGTCTTACCTCGTCGGTGATCTGGCCTCCGAAGGTCACCCATGTTCCTGGAAAGAGACACGAGAGCTCAAGTTAAGCCATCTGCCAGGGCCCCAACCCTGCCTTGCGGTGAGTTTGTTCTCTGAATGCAGGGACTTCTGGCCCGCAGAGCAAGTGTCCAAACTGAGGGATCAGCCTTTGAAATGCCTGTGGTGTGCGCCTATGACCCCAGCACCCTGAGAGGCTGAGGCAGGAGGAAGGCAAACTTGAGTCTCGGCTGGGCAGCTGAGCAATTTATCAAGACCCTGTCTAAAAAGTAAAAAAATAAAGTTCTGGGGTCCATTCCCAGTACTAAAGAAGGAAAAAGAAATGCACTTGTGCTGGTGTAGCTCCTGTCGCGTCCTGGGTCACGCTGCCCCTTCCTGCCGTGGGGAGGGGACAAGGCGGTCTCCCTGACAACAGGCATGCTCGCTGCTCTCGTGGTGGGGGAGGGACAGGGTGCCAGGTGGGAGGTGGACTCGGGTTCTGCGGACAGAGCTCAAATCTGGCCCGGGGAAAGAGGACAACTGGAAGGGCTCCTGCCTTGAGGCCGAGCCCTGGGAAGAATCTCCCAGGCACCCCTGGGCCAGGAGCTGCTCCGGCTTCCTAGTTTGGGGTGGGCTGTGTGTGCCAGGGGCCTGCAGCTCTGGTCCCTTCCCTCCTGATGCCTGTCTCCAGGTTGCCATGGCAACAAAGGCCCCACCCCCTGCATCCTGGGCTCTGGGTGTAGCTCCTTCCAGCAGGGGCAGGGCCAGCCCTACTGCATCCCCCTTCCCTGGCATGTGGGTCCCCACACTCACCGAGCCCCAGGCAGGAGACCCTCAGGCCAGACTTGCCTAGGTTCCTGGAAAACAAACACAGCCTGAGTCCCAGTACCCGGGCACAATGCCGCCAGCCAGGCTTGCCCGCTGGTGCCAGCCCTGCCCATTCCCACCATAGTCATTTCCTGTTCTGAGGCTGAGAGGGCACCATCAGAGGGAGGCCTCTCCCCTGCGAGGTTCTCCTCTTGTCCTCTTGGGTCACACTTGTGACCTGGTGGGTCAGCAATCTGAGGACAGGGTGAGGGGGCCGCACGCATGTGACTGTGTTGAAAAGGAAATGCAGCTGGTTATGGTAGTGCACACCTGTAATCTCAGCACTCTGGGAGGCTGAGGCAGAAGGATCGTAAGTTTGGGCCCAGCCTAGGCAACTTCAGTAACTTAGTGAGACCCTGTCTCAAAATAATAAATAAAGGGCCAGGGATTGAGCTTAGTGGTTCTGGCGCTTGCCTTGCAAGCGCAAGGGTCCGAGTTCGAACCTGAGTACCAAAAATAAATAAATACATAAAATTAAAAAGGGCTGGGGATGTAGCTCAGGCTGAAGGCCCTGGGTTCAACCTCCAGTACTGCAAAACAGAGAGACAGAGACTTTTTCCCTCTTATGAATCTGTGAAGTCATCCAACAGCCCCTTTGGGCTGAGTGTTGCAGAGCAACACGCATCTGGGGCAGCTGCAGTAGGCACAGTGTGTCCCTGATGAGTCCCACAGGAGCCAGGCCCACTGGGCAGTGTATGCCACCTCCCCCATGCTGGCCACACAGTAGCTGTTGTGGGAGACGTGGGTTGTTCGGCTAGAAGGTGCCATGAGGACTGGAAGAACAGAAGGTCGGGCTCAGCAGTGCCCTGCAGCTGTGGGCCCGCAGAGCCCTTTGGGTACCACATACAGGCTTCGGACTCCTCCCCAGGAAACAGGCACAGACACAAATACCCATGGAGCCCTGGGCCCCACTGGGGACCCGGTCTGGTCAAATCGAGGCATCCAAAGGGCGCCCGGCCCTGACCTTGTAAAGCCACCCGTGCGAGTGACAGTGAGGAGCAGTTTCCTGACCAGGCTGGGTTGAAAGGCAGCCTGTAAGCCCGTCAGCCTAAAAAAGTCCCTTTTATCAGCTCGTGCTGGGGCTGGGATTCCAACCCAGGTCCTGAGATGCCAGGACACACTGCGAGTATGGGAGAACGGAGCAGCATTAGCAATAGACAGGTGAGGACACGAACGGAGTCCACCTGCGTCTGGGGCTGAAGAGCAGACACCTGTTGTCCCACAGCTTGGGGGCCTCCAGCAAGTGCTGCTGCTGTTCCCCAAATCTGATCGGTTCCAAGACTGGCATCAAATGAACCCGCTTTCCTGACAGGGCTGAGTCTCCATGCCTGGGTGGGACCCTGGAGGCCCTGTCTCCCCCGCCCTCAGGAATCATCTAACAAAACTAGGGCACTGCAGGATGCCAGTTAGCCATCTCCGCTGCTTCCCGGTGAAAGCAATGATGGTATTAGTTCTGCCAGCCGCTGCCGGGCCTCGGGAGAAGGGATGAGAAGGGACAGAGCACCCCTAGGGTGGGCACTTTATCCGTGTGGCTGCTCCAAGGGGCTAGGAGACCACAGCTAGACAGGGGCTGCTGCCACCTGGCCACGTGAAACTCTCCAGGCACGAGAATCGTTTCCTACAGATTTCTTTCCACTAATTAAAGCTCGACATAATGATAAGACAGGCGCCCAAATCGCTCAACCCAAATACTGCTGGTCTGCATGAATTCACCTGCATCTTTCCCAGGACTGGGGGAAATGGCTAACGAGGACTCAGAGCCAGGACCTGTGTCATGGGAAAGCGCTAGTGCCCACCATGCACCCCTAAACACTGCGGGAAGGGCCAGGGCTGGAAGGCGCCAGGGAATTACAGATCCTGTTAGGAGGAGTCTGGGCTGCTCCTGTCAGCATCTGAACAGAGGACAAAACCTGGTCAGGGAAGGGAGGAAAGGTGCCGTGGCCCTGATGGGCTGGTTGGGAAATGGACAGGTGTTTTCCTGAGAGCGCAGTCCTAACGCACGTACCAGGAGACCGACACTAACTGTTTGCGGGTCTGCTCTGCGGCCAGACGCCAGGCTCCCAGAGGACAGGCCCGGGCCTCCGTGGGGGTTTTGCCGCGGGATGATGTTGGCATCATTTGGGGCAGAGGAGCCCAGGCCCTGGGGTCAGCCTGGGGACCGGATTTCGGTTCTTCTCTTGCCCCTGGGGTTTGGCCTCCCCATCCCTTCTCTGGGCACTCTTGGGCCCTTTGGCAAGAGTATGGGACCAGGTACTGGCCACCTCTAGCTCCCTGCAGCTTCCGGGGGAGGCGCCAGGCCCACCCTCAGTTGCTGCAGCCCACTGCACCCTGGCTGTGGCACTGGGGCAGGACGAGGTGGCCACCCTTGGGGCCGGAAGAGAGAGGGCTCGGTCAGGGCGATGGAGGAGCACTTGGGGTCTCACTCCCCTTTCAGCTGCTCAGAGACGACACAGCCCCACCCAAGGCACAAGGCCATCCGCATCCCCCACATCCCCAAGACAAGCTCGCCAGGCCCTGCTGCATGGGAGCCCCAATTGTGCCTCGCTGGAGAGGACTGGGTCCAGCAGCCAGGCAGTGCTGGGCTGGGTTTGAACCCAGATCCCCAGACTGCAAACCTTTCACTGCCCTCTCTGACCCTTCCTGCCTCCTGCAAGTATGCGCATGTGTGGTCACCCGTGTACAGGGATACACATGTGCTCACACACACACGTACACATGGTCACCTTGTGCACACAAGCTCTTGGAGACTCGCTCTTTAAGGAGCCTTACAGGGGACCATGTTAAAGCCACACTTCCTGTTTACATAGGGCCTTACACCTGCAGAGTCTCGCTTTAATTCCCTTCATGGTCCTCGGATTGACGTAAAAGACACGGCAGGTACTGAGTATTTGAACTAAAAAGTATACATACATTCAATTTACTCCCTGCTTTTGACCCCCACCTGACACAAGGTACAAACCTCAGAGCTTCTAGCATAGAGAATTCCACTCCAGGCGAGGGGGGAGGGACAGAGTCCTTCAGCTGGGGAATCACTACGGAACCAGCTGTCCCAGGCCCAGGTAAGGTGGCGACACGGGGATAGACGCAGGACCCCAGCTCAGCCCAGTGGTCATCTGAGGGGTGCTGGGCTCAGGGACGTGGCCCCTTCCCATGTGGTCACCTTTGGGTGCTGGCTCTGGGGGAGGTGTAAGCTGCCCTCCTCAGTGACTTCAGTGACTCAGGGACCCTCAGTGCTTCTGAGTCGGCAACAACATCAGGTGCAAATCCAGGCTGTTCTGATACAGCCAGGACCATCTGTGCCACAAGTTTCGGAATCCGGGGTCGAGGGCCCCCACTTCCTTCCAGTCTGTGCAGCCTCAAGAGCCAGAGGCCCCTTTGCCCCAGGAGCACCTCCTCGGGGCCCCAAGGACCCGGGGTGAGGAGGGCCAGGCCTGAGTGGCTGTCCTCGTCCTACCCCAGGGCCCTTCCTGCCAGGCCAGGATCCTTCTGTCCCGGGAGCACATGAATGAGGCCGGGTGGCCAACACGGGGACACAGGCAGGAAAGGCAGCCCTGCCCCAGACGTTTGGACCCGCCCCACATTCAAGTCACAGGACCGGGAGCGGGGACAGAAACAAGACAGCCTGGGACCATCATGGGAAAACTCGGGCACTGGCTGGCTGCCCTGGGCCCACCTGAGCGAGAACCCTTCCTAGAGGAACCCAGATGTGCCGGGGAGGGACAGTGCTTCCACGGCATGGTTCAGCTGCCAGCCCCCGAACAAGGCACTAATGCTTGTCACTGTGGCCTCTGCGAAGACCCAAGACCACCCAAGGGGCATCTTCTGGGGCCTCTACCAGCGCTGGGGGGTCCCTGGGAAGAGCAGGTGGTACAGAGCAGGCGTTAATGGGGGCGACTTGGCTACTATAAACAAAAGGCCCCCCAAAAGGAATCAAAGGCAGGAGGAGGGAAGAGGGTGACTCGTGCGGGCTCCCTCCACAGTCATGAAGAAACTCCCTTCAGGCCTCCCGGGTCACCAAGGGCTAAGCCAGCACCAGTAGCCCACGAGGATTCTGCCCACTTCCTGGGCCCCCACCCGCACAGCTGGTGGCCCGTACCTATATTTCATCCCGGCCTGCTTCATGTGGGTATCGCTGGTGCTCGGGACACTTTGCACGGAGAGCTGCCCCAGGCTCTGGGCCACCAGGGCCACGGTGTGGAAGTGGCTGCGGGTGCCTGGGCTGGGGCTGCTGGCTGCCGACCGACCCAGCTGCTCCTCAGGGCCCCAGGCCTTGAGGCTGTGCTCGGAGCACATGAAGGACACCTGCATGTTGTGGCAGCCGGGGAGGCCCCTTGTCCCGGAAGGCGAAGATGCGGCCAGGTGTCCTTTTAGGAGCAAGGATTTCTGAAGACGATGATGGATAAAATGTCCCTGCAGTCTCCCGCCCAGGGCACAGCATCAAATTTCCAGACACAGACAGAAAAGACCTCATCCAGGAGTCCAGGACAGGGCCCAGGGGTCACTTCCCATTGTCGTTCTCCTCTGCTGCCTTCTCTGTCTCCACGAAGCCCTGGCTCTGGCTGCTGAAGTGCCCATCAACCTCCAAAAGTGCCAGGCAGGGCAGGGCTGCGAGACTCCAAGCTGACTAGCCAAGTGCCATCTGCAGAGGAGGAGGCCCTGCTGTGTGCAGCCTTCCCAGCCCAGGGTGGTGGCCCAGGGCCCGTGCCGGCTGCTGTACCTGGCTGGGAGGTCTCGGGGAGCAGCTGCTTCTCCAGCTTCCCGGGCCCTGCACACAGGGCTCTTGCCGAGGCAGGGAGGTGGCCGGCGGTGCAGGCAGCCACTGGAGATTCATTATTAATGACGCAGGACACAGAGCCGCCTGCCCCGCTGTCCCCTGAGGCTGCCGAGGTGGGGTGGGCGAGGCTGGATCAGGCACAGCCTCCTCCGGGAGCAAGCACAAGTCACGGGAGCCCACTCTGGCTGATGATAATGACAGGGACAGCCAAGGAAA